GATTCCAGGTTTGCCTTCAGCTAATTAAGTGATATTAGGGAGGTTGTAAATGCCACATAAAAATTGGCAGGCAAGCTGCTCCTAATGATGAGAATATTGCCTTATAGGGAGCTGCAGCTGCAGCTTCTTAATGCGTGTCTCAGAGAGGACCAGCTCCACGTTTACAAGGTTGTTCCTGATGAGACAAGTTCAAGGGTGCTGCACAGCTGACCGTTGGCCACACTTCCTGCTCCCCATCGCAGGGACACTCACAGGGACGGGGAAGGCGGGCGCCAAGAACCAGCAACAAGTGCTCCCGTGCATTCACGGGTGACACCGTGTTGACGCCCTCCACTCCGCACCTGGTTTGGTCCCCACAACAGCACCATGAAGCTCCAGTTCCCTGTTTGGGAGGTGGGGGGACTAGGCAGAGAGAGGCTGAGTCACCTGTCCCAGGGCACAAACAGGGGAAATGGCTCAGTCCCGACCCTTCATCACTGTGTGACCCCCCTTACTCGGCATTTAGAACACGATGGGGGCACTGGAGTACTAGTCAGTGGGAACTCTCGGTAGTTATTAAACAACTACTGAGCAGGCGAGGGTGAGAATCACAGCAAACGACAGGGCAAAGGCCTTCAAAATTGCAAAATGCCTCAGATGGAGCTCTGCAAAACCTCCAGTTAAACTCTGGTGATAAAGCATTGGTGATCATTCAGATGGGAAAAGTCTGGTGAGCACCCTCTCCGTGAGAGAACGCACTGTATCTAAAACTTTGGGGGTGACAGAGGTTAAGGCAATGCTCTGCGGTGCTCGGGTGCCGGTGGCTCTGCCCCGAGGCCAGGACCCAGGGGAGCCAGCCCCCACGTACGTCTGTATTACTGACCACAGCTGCTGAGCCCTGGCCACGCACACACAGATCCAGTAGTTAGGGTTAAGAGATCCCTCGTTTCAGACTGTTTACCTGTTCGGTAAGATCAGGTAACACTTAACAAGGCTGGTCTGAGAAAATGTATACAAATAAAACAAAACTGCATTTCTTTTAAGAACAGTCAACAATTCAGACTGTTGTTTTTCTACTAATTTTAAGAGGAGGGAGCTGAGAACAGGGGAGCATAGTTATTGGGTTACTGATAAAGGCGATGTCCCAGATGTTTCTAGGCACTAAGAAAAACATCAGAAAGACACAGGTGGCAGAAGCCAGGGGCAGACAAGTCTTAGGGAGCTACAGACTGAATCGTTTGGGGAAGAGCAGCACTTTCACGGTGCCAGCATATAGCTCACACGAGAGAGGGGGGTTACAACCAGCAGACTCACTCTTCCATATTGCCACGGTAGCGCTGACACCGTAAAGCGTTCTATGGAACCATTCTCCATGGTGTCAGACAGGTGAGGGATCCGCAGCCCTCCACGGCGTGCCTGCTCACGACTCATGTGTGACTGCCTACACAGACAGACACCCTGGCAAACAACACAACTCTGCCCTCCCGAAGCAGACACACTGGGGCTCAGTGTCCCCTGGGAAGACGGGAAATTCTGGAAGGTCTATTACCTTTGCTTCTCTGAAGCAACCGCTGAATCTACCTGGCTTCAGATCCGAACTGCATTTCACAGGGGGAAAAGGCTGTGTTTGTGACGGATGTTGCTAAGGGGCCACTCAATATTTTACCACCAGCACCGACTCCCTGTGTGCATGTCTGTGTCAGGGTTTGGGGTGGGGGGCTGCTTTGGCAGGTCTGCGTTTAGGTGTCAGAAGAGTTTTGTAACTATGACTGTATTTGCATGCAGGGGAGAACCAGTTCATGTTCCCTTTCAGAACTAAGGACTGAAAAAGGAGACACCGACCTGGTGATTAAGATCTCATTTGAGGACATCATTTCTTTTTCTGAACAGTGGTCAAAGGACTAAAAGCACATAGACGAGATAAAACTTCCCTTTGCCGTTGCTAACCTGAGCTAACCTGCCCTTGCTTCGCGTTTCTAACGCCCAGACGAACTCCTTGTTTGGTGTCTGCAGGTATCAGAGGTTTGCACAGAACATGTAACCATTCTAGGCAGTAAACCCCATCAAGTGGAATGCAGAATAATGTGGCAAATTTAGTGCTATTACTTGATCCATCCATACAAAACACAAGGAACCACTCTCTTTCTTGACAGATGGATTTCAGAGGAGACGCCTGGGCTCAGAACAATCACTGTGGCCACAGCGTAACTCTCTGCACTTTGTTGGCTTTAATGCACTTTTCTTCCCAGGGCTCAAGAAGCAGCAACTGGCATTTGCTTGAGCCCTGACTGAGGTGTGGAAAATCTGTCAAGTTCTCTCTGCCGCTTACCCCGACCACAATTATACGGTCCATGTGCAGATTAGCTGCAAAGTCATTCTTCTTGCGCAAGAGACAAGATTTCCCCAAATAAAAAAAGGTGCCTACCGTATTCCCGAGTGCCCGTCTGCGTTAGCGAGGCAGAGATGGGGTGGGAGGATTTGAGAGTGTGGAGAGAAATGCCTTCAAAAGAAGGGCATAACAACCCAAAAAGTAGCTGTAACTGAGTGATGACATGGCCAGAACAGAGAGCGGTATTGTCGCAGGCGGAGTAATCCTGTGACACACTGCTGTCACTCACCACCCGGCTCCCTGCCGTGCCAGCCAGACATCAAAGGCTGCCCCATACCATCTTACATGCTCTTTATCGGCTAATCAGCCCATTCTTCCCGAAATAAAGCCCTGCTAAATCCCCTGCTCACAGGGGTACAGTAGCCCTGGTGCCCATCTGCTAGCAGGGCCAGCCGAAGCAGGAGGCGGCGGCTTGCTCTCTCCCTAGTGGCTTCTCAAGGTAAGGACAATGCTGGCCCCAAGCCCCCCTCCCAACTGCCTCCCTCCTTGCCGCTCCGCTTTCCAGGACCTGGGGAAGAGCCGAGGACACCCCAGTCTGAAGAGCTGCTATCTGGATTCACACTTGCTAATGAAATTCCCAGTCATAAAGGTACATCAGCTGCGAACAATAAGATACTGGGACCGCATTTACATGCGGGGAGAAGAATCAGCAAAATACGTGTCTCTTACCAGTAATCGACTAGCAGGTGCATTCCTATCTTCTCCAAGTACCAACGTCTTAGAAACGGTGGCAGGATGGCCTGGCTTCCAGATCACTAGGAGGTCACCCTCAGACCTGACCTCAAGCCTCACACACTCAAAATCAAAGTCAGCATGGAGAGATACCAGCCACCTCCAATCCCAGGACAGCAACCTAACGCTGGTGCACCGCCATCGTGCCTGAGAGTAGATGTGAGGCGTCTTCTCCCTCTGGGAGGATGGACAGAGAAGTCGCTGGCTGCGGCCCTGCCCAGAACACACAGCTGGGGCAGCAGGCAGCGCCCTGCACCTCAAAACCGCCTGGCAGAAACCAGAGCCGGATGTATCTTAGTCTTGTGTGGGCATGGATGAACAGCAGCATGACGAGAACGACTTGCCTCACAGAATTACTGGAGTATGGTCCTATATGAGTGGTATTAACATGAGTAAAAAAAGCAACCATCTTAAAAATCCCCAAATCGGCATTACAATTAGGCAAACTGTATCCATTACAAAGAGCCTTATAGATGCCAAGTCCCTGAACAGATCATGTTGGATGTTCCAGAATCTTAACCCACCTGGTTTCTAGGTCTCTGTTCTAAAGTGCTTCATCTGTATGACCCACCCTCATGCTGATTCTCAGAACAGTTTTGGGAAATTGCTAAAAACACTGATTTCCTTCTCCCTTCTGCAGTTGGGGGACCCGAGGCTCTGGGAAGTTAAGCAAAGACGTGGCCCAAAGCTCAGAAGCTCACATCACAGTGGAGCTGGAACTGAGTCCAAGGCCTCCGCATCCAAGGCCAGCGATCATTTCCCTACACTGGGTGGTCCTCTCTCCCTTTTGTCACTGTGCTCCAGAGAAACCAGGCGCCAACAAGGGTGGTGGTGGCGAATGCGCAAGCGAGCATTGTGTGGGAACATGGAGGAAAAGTGTGGCACGCCCACAGATTCTTGGAGTCAGGGCAAGTGGATTGTGGCATTTGTAATTAATAAGCAAAAAGAATGACATGCAATACAAAGTGACTGTCCAGAGCATTCAAGGGTTCACTGCCCCCCAAATGTTTGTTCAATGTATCCTTCCCACCCACGTACTACACAAATTCCCCCTAAAAGCAGCCCATGGTATCTGAAGTATTCTGGTTCCTGCAAGGGGCTGGGGCTGATATTGAAAGTACACCCGGTCTCTGAGGAGAGAAAGACCTTTTGCGAAGGTATTTTGTGGTTTCAGGACCTCCTGAAACTATGGAGGTGGACTCTGAGCCCAGGCTTCACCCTGCAGGGTCTCCTCACTAGGACCTCTGGACAGTTCGGAACAGGCTTTCTGCGGGAGGGGAGGGAGGGGAGGGAGGGGGAGAGGGTCTGGCGCTTGCCCGGGTGTGTGCTCAGCACTAAGGAGAGTGACGAGGTGCAGGGAGTCCAGTGCTGGCCCCTGGAGCCAGCCTGCAGGAGAAAGGTGCTAAGCTGGAACTCCACACGCCGCTCCTCCCATCTCACCAGGACAGGGCCTGGCAAATCTCACAGAACACGCCAGAAGTTCTCGTACAAGCCCCGGAGGCTTTCCAGGGTGAACCACAGCACATCTGAAGCTCTGACTCCAGCAAGTCCCCGAGTTACTCTGCTGGTGGGCAGTGAGGATAACCCAACAGGTTTGTCTTGCTGCCCCAGTAATATCCCTACGACATCTGGACCCGACAGGAGACCCCACTGCATTTCTGCAGGTGCCTTAAAAACATTCAGATGAGGTGTTTTTCCTCTTGCTCCAAGCACTTACTATACTGAGAGAGGGGCAGAGCAGACACTGGTGATGATTTACCACAAGAACCAAAGATGGAAGAGTGGACACTGAGCACGCAGCAGCCCAGCACATTACCTCCCTGCTGCTGCTGGGCCCAGAGCTCTCCACACCCACCTGACTTCCAGCCATTTGTCACAGGGCAAACTCCGCTCATTTTACCTGTTCAGGTTCGCTTTCCTTCTCTTCACAGCTGCGACACTAAGATTCTGGGGGGCATCTCTCAGCCCAAAGCTCTTAGCCACGTGGCCGAGGTGGAGCGACCGGACATGGAAGATGTGCTTCAGCTCCCGGGGGTAGGTTGCGTAGGCTCGGATGAAGGCCTGCAGAGCTGGGAGGGAATGAGGGTCAGAGATGCCGTCAGGATGGGGGCTCGGAGCGCCCCACGTACCCTGGCCCAACGGCTGTCCTGCCCACCATATCTTGCCGGGAAACGCGCCACACACAGCCAGGACAGCACCACGTACAGGAACCACCTAAATCTTTGTGTATTTTTTTTTTTTAATTCCTCAAAAACTAAACCTATAGGACACAAATATCTGTTGATTAAACCCAATCTATTTTCAGGTTTTACTGTGCAGCGTGTCCTCACCCTGGAGGGCACGGGCCCCGTTTTCGCCCCCTTTATGGGCTTGGGGCCTTGCATGGTAGCTGGGGCACCGCAAGCTGCTAAGTGTTTGTCATATAAATGAACGAAGAGCAGAACGAGTGAAGGAACTAAAACACGATCAATGCGGCATTCTCTCATGAAAAACGAGATCATTAGACCTTTATGTTAGGAAAACATTTTCCTAATTCAACTTCATTTATTTTTGCATAGCTAATACACGCACGTTATAAAATTGAAAAGGTTCCAAAGGCTTTACCGTGCTTGTCATTCTGCTTATCACCACGATGGGTTGATGGGGTTACTACTGCCGTAAGTCCACTCACCCGCAGGCCCCGCCTCCACCCCCCTATCGACAGGGATGGCTGCTACTTCCTCGTGGACTCCTGGGATTTTAAAACCAAATTCATTCTAAAGCATCTAAGATTTACTGATACAGTGCTTCTTACCCATTTGAAAATTGCATAAAAAAGACAATGAAAACAGAATTCTAAAAAGGAGGAAGGCAATTATTAAATTTCTAAAACAGCCCACAAAACAGTCCCTCCCTTGAGGATTGCCAACAGTCTAGAGATGTCCATCCGACGCTGCATCGTGGTTTCAGTCCTGTCTTAAAGTTAAGAAGGCGCCCCTGTTCTAGAGCCCAGTGCTGGCCAGAGAAAAGGCAGACATGGTTCGCAGGAGCGTGGTGCTCTGGCTACACCTTAACTCGGTATCCCTTTGAGGAAAGAGACGTTCCTATACCCAGTTCCCCTCAAATATATTGCGATTTCAATAAAAATCAAGTGTCTGCCTCTTCTTACTGCAACAGGGCAAGAGGAGATGGCTCTGAAGGAGCCCCAAGCCCATCACCGCTCACTTTCCTTCCAAGCCTGGCTCTCCCACTGGCCAAGCCGGAGCCCAGCGCCGCTCGTCTCATGGAAAAGCAGGCACTAAACACCAGCCTCTCTCGCCCTTGCTTGTTGAGCCACTGGACTGGCAAGTTTGCCCACAGCTTAAACTTAATATCCCAGCAGCACCTGGAGATTGGCGTTTATGAACAGTAATAAAAAGTGTCATTTTAGCAGATCAGCTCCTGGAAGGATCCTGGGAATCCATGAAAGCTCTATTTACTGAGTAAAGTGAACTCCTTTTCCCAATCGATGAGAAATAATAACCAAGGCAACTCCTCTGCACCCCTTTCGTAAATCTGTGCTTACTCCCCTTTTTAATAACTGGGGACTAGCGTTTTCAGGGGAAATCTTTTAACACTTCACATGGTCTGCACTGTCTGCAGGTTCTGACACCAGGTTCCGGACACGGAGCTACCTACTCCAGTCCTTGGGGGGGGGGGGTCTGCTGCCACTGCCCCTGGGGGGAGGGGAAGGGGCAGGGTGCAGGCCTCTTCTCCACACCCCGCGCTACCCCTTTCCTGAGCCTCAACCCTGACTCCTGGTCTAACAAAGCAGACCGAAGCCACACCAAGCCAAGCCAAAGACTCTGCACCTTTACAGTCTCGGTTGTCCAGGGCGCCTGGGTGGCTCAGTTGGTTAAGCGACTGCCTTCGGCTCAGGTCATGATCCCGGAGTCCCGGGATCAAGTCCCACATCGGGCTCCCTGCTCAGCGGGGAGTCTGCTTCTCCCTCTGACCCTCTCCCCTCTCATGCTCTCTATCTCATTCTCTCTCTCAAATAAATAAATAAAATCTAAAAAAAAAAAAAAAAAAAAAAACTCGGTTGTCCAAAGGCTGGCCCAGGCCTCCTCATGCACACCGCTCTCCCGCATAAGCACATTAGCCTCCTATTCCCGCACCAAACTGAAGAGCGGAGGATGGAGAGCCTCTGTCCCAGGAGATGCAGGTGCTCAGCTAACAACTCTACAGGAGTAACGAGTTTGCCAAGAAATGGCGGACGCGCCTTCTCCCTCCACAACTGCTCAGGCAGCATTTCGCACTGTGTATTTTTACTAACCCTCCTTGTCCTCAAGGCTCCTGTCTCCCTGGGGCCAGCAACACCTGGCCGTCCTCACATCCCTGAATGGCCTCCCGTGTTTGGATGGTTCAGGGAGGCAGGAATTTCAGCAGAAGCTGTTCTAGATGCTTCCCGGGGGCAGTGTCGAGAACTTGCAGCGGGAATAGGGGCTGTAGGGCCCAGAGCAGAGAAAGAGGGATTTACCTAGGATGGCGGAGGAAGCTGCGGCCACTTAGAGCATGTGCTCCGAGGCCACGGGCTCCTATCTCGTAGCTGTAAGGGCAATCTATTTCATCCTTGTTCCTCAAATCAGATTTATTCTTGGCCATCTGATCGGGAATAGTAGTATCTTATGGATGATACTTATGGTCAAAGAGGTAGGGAGGAAAGAAACTTGCCCCTGCCCCCAGAAGGACGAACGTCTGTGCAGAGTAAAGGCACATGCACCTGCCTACCTCACGCCACAACAGTATCAAAGCATTTGGTCGAGCATCTGCCTACCTGCAATCACACTGAGAGAGGGGGCTAATCTGTCGTTAGTGGTTTGGGTGTTCTTGACTTTGTGGAGCAGCTCTTCCAAGCCAGGCACAACTCCTCCGCATGTGGGCCCCCTGAAGCTGGAGGGGCCTCACCACAGGAAAGCGGTGGTTTGTAGGTAAAGAACTCCAGTTTCTGAAATTTTTGTTCAGGAGTCTGGAGTTCAAACTTCTGTTAGCACAGTTTTTAACCACTTGAATCTAGCTAAAGGAGGCAAGAAAAGAGGGGGGGGAAGCGTGACTCCTTCTGGAAACTGACAACAATTAAACGCTGGTTATTAACAATGACTGGGTCAGGAAATGCAAAAGGAAAACAAATGCATACTTGGCCCAGTTTCTAACTAGTTTTCTGCCATAAAGGCAAAAACCAGCTGCTTTGTTAATTATTCATGAGGTGGGCTCTGAAATGGCATAAAAGGGAGGCACAGAAGTAGTGGGGAATTTGCATATGCAGACTGAAATGCAGAAGAGAGTTTCAACTTGTGGGGTGCAGTTGCTGTCCCCGTGTTGTGACCTCCGGAGCTCAGCACGCTGAGTACCAGAAGAGGAAGGAGTGGAGTGGCCAAGACCTACCACAGGCGGCTTCCTCCCAGACCATCACCAATCTGATGGGGAAATCAATTAGCAGAGGAGAAAAATGCCTGTTAATTTCCTTTTTGGTGCCTCAACACCGCAGAGTGGCCCCACTCCGATATCCTTTAGAGAGAAGACAAGTAACTCGGCTTGTTTCTTGGCATGAACGATTTCAGCAGTGGTGATGACGAATGAAAACACAAAACCACACTAAGAATTCCTCACTACAGCCTTACTCTGATGACCAGACACCCTGAGATAATCGTAGTCTCGCTAGAAGATCCAAAACACCTCTGACCTCAAAATCAACGACGAAGATGACGGCATGGCCTTGATTTTTTTCTTTTCATCGCCACTTTGTTATTAACCCAGAAATCCTGCAGCACCACACCTCGTGATGCACCACCCAGCGAGCTCACACTGCCTGGCAGACGCCCAACGTCTGCAGTTATGCCGTGACAAATAATCTATTCCTCTTGAGAGACGTGTGTTAGTACTTCTCTAAAAGTAGGTTCTGAGGAAAACCCTTAGGAACTGCTGAATTCACTTGAGGGAAATGTGAGCACAGGCTACTATGAGGAAGCAGTCCAGAATGCTACACGCTAATGACGCATCAGTGGTTATGGGGCCATCACTGGGACTTCGTCTTTCATCCTGCGTAGCTCTGGTTTGTTCCAGTGTGACGGCAACAACCAAGGGCTGCTTTTATAGTGTGCCAGGGTATCCAGTAGGCACTCAAAAACATCTGCCAACTAACCCATTGTCCTCGATCTCCTGATGACAACTGCCTGGAACCAGTCCCCCAGCACTCACCCTTGCCCCCCAGTCTATTCTCACACCAGCCATCTTTTCCAACCTCTGTGGGCTGTGCCACATCTCTGCTCCAAGTCCTGCAATGGCTCTCACTGACCTTGGGGTCCCCCAAAGCCCTCCCCCAAGCCTCCTCTGGTGCGCGGGCCCTCCCCTCCTGTGGCCACCCTGCCCCCCAGAGCTCCTCTGGGCCTGGCATGCCCTCCTGTCGGCAGTGTGTGACCCTCAATTTGCTCGTGCGGCCTTCACAGCAGGGCTCACAACGACCCTCTATGTAAAATGCACTCTGCCCAATTACCCCTTCACCTCCCTTACAGGCTCTGTTTTTTTTCATAGTTCTTAACCCCTTTTAAAAGACTATTTATTTATTTATTTTTACTATTCTCACTGTCTGCTCCCCCACTAGAATGTTAGAGAGGTTAGGGTTTCTGTTTTGATTCCTGATGTATCCCAAGCACCTAGAACGGTGACTAATTCAATAACTATTTGTTAAATGATTTTTTTTTTTTTAATTTCAATTCATAAAAGGAAAAGATGATGTTCTGGTAAGCCAGCCCAACATTCTTCTCAAAATAGCAGGTAAACTACCAGAAAGAAGCGAGGGGCCCCCAGCATGGACCGCGTCACTTCAGCACGCATGACACAATCACCAGCCACGACACGCACGGCATGCCGCCGTAAGGAGCTGTTCGAAGCCCATCCTGCGTGCTCCACTCTGCTCCACTGAACGGCTGAGTCCCACTAATGCCTGGTGATCCCAGGAGCCGCGTTATCTGGTAAGAGGGCCTGAATATTAAGTGAACACCTAGCTCTCCTGTAAATTCCCCAGGAACTGGGTTCAAGGTCTAGGGCCCTCCCTCAGCACTTCCTTCTCATCTCCCTCTGTATGTCCAAACTGAGACTACTCAGGTCTGATGCTCCTGGTCCTTACCTTCAACTCTAATTTCTACGCCTACAACGGTCTCTGACGTGTCACGTCTCGTCTATCCAGTTTTCAAAGAGAAGACAAAAATGGATCCCTGAGATCCAAGTCACTGGGTCAAAGTTCTAGTCCTACGTAAGCCAAGATAAAGCCTCATTTGTGCAAAACATGGGGAAGGATGAAATTAGCATTTAATATTGCTTTAAAGCCTTCCGTGCCTGCTTCCAGACCCTGCAGAACAAGGGAGACCGAAGGCTTTTGTTGGAGAGCAGAAACCCCCCGGTTGGCCTCTCAGCCCGTCGGGGGTGTGCGGGTGGAGGTGGGGACGGCGTTCTGGGGGCTATGCATGCACAAGCACCCACGAAATCCACCGACCTTTCTTCGCCCAGGAGACCCTCCTCGAGCTGGAGTGCACGTAATCTTCAAACACCGTCTGCAAGACGGTGGCTCGCTCTCGGATTTCCTGGGGGCCAGCAGCACGGGATTTCTGGGAGGGTGGCGGAAGGATTAAAGAAAGAGACAGAGTCAGAGTCAGGAATAATGAAGCACTTTATAATAGATTTAATAACAGTAAAACCACCCGGTAACCACCGAGGGGCCAACAAGGGTAATCCTTTCAATATTACTAGAGGAAAAACGGGAGCTATAAAGATGTTAAAGTCAAGCAAAGATGAAGATGGCTTTGTGAGGGAGAAGATCAGGTCTATTTATTTACTTGTTTACTTACTTACTCGTCCTCCTGGCCTCTTGTTCAAAATGAATGCCCACTGGAGACACTCTGGAATTTTCCAAGTCCAATTCAGGCATTTAAAACATCATTGAACACAGGCAGGTTTCACATGACTTGTGTGTCCTACCGAGGCCTTAAATCTTTCCCCTCCCTCACCCTCCTCAGGGGAACAACGGGACCTTCTCTTTAAGAGGGCCCCACAGGGGCCTGCCTAAAATTTAGCCTGTCCTTGAATTTCAGAGCATGCTCCCTCAATTCCTAGGGAGGCTCAGACTTGTAGTGTTTCAGACCCATTCTTTCAGGGAGGGACCACTGTGCTGGATGCCAGGGACCTATTAAGGAGTTGGCTATTCCTTCACACCACATTCAGAGATGACCACACGATCTCTGCAGCAAACCATCCCTGTGTAAGGAGTGACATCTGTATGCGCTAAAGTTCTACAGATGGAAAATGTTACTAAAAAAAAAAAAAAAAATATCCTTTTCATTCTTAAAAAATCCCAGAGAAAAGATTTCCTTTCTTTATATCCCCCTAAAACCGAGTGTTGTTTCCTATATATATATATATATATACATATATATATTTTTTAAGTAAGCTCTAAACCCAACGTGAGGCTCGAACTCACGACCCCGAGATCAAGGGCCACATGCTCTACCAACCGAGCCAGCCAGGCGCCCCTGTTTCCTATGTCTTCAAACAAACACGAATGCTTTCTACTGAATGTAAAACTGAGATCCAAAGAACCCAGATTCTCCAAACTCAATTTGGCTAATAGGTCTCCCCAAAGACACTGATTGTCTCAGAGATGCTACTCAGTCTCTACAGTAACCAACACCCACCGCCCACGTGGGTCACCAGGGAACAGTGTGAGCCCTAGTCCCTGCCTCCCTTAACCCCCGCAGAGGACAGGGTGCCCAAACTGGGCTCTAGAGTCTCTTTCTCTTTTAAAGCTACCAGAGGAAGAACAAAGGGGAGCGAAGAAAAAGCCTCATTCTTTGGGTTGACGTCCCTGTCTGTATTAATAGAGACTTTAACAACCTGAAAATGTTTTTAGCTTCGTCAAATCATTCCTGCTACCTGTTTGGCTGATGACAGTCTAGCTGATTTCATAGTACATGGTCCCCCTAAGGGTTTTATCCACTCGAATGTCAGGAGAAAAGTCACTCAGGAGCTGTGTTATGGAAGTGGACATTTACTACTGTCATTAACAAGGATTTTTTTTTTTTACCCTCAGATGCAAACTTTTTTTTTTTTTGCTGCCCTCCTTTTGTTAAGCCACCTCGGCAATGCAACTGTCACCTTCCTTGTGTGTGTTTTTTTTTATATGAATGTGAAATTAGCGAGGATGCCCTTTCCCCTGGCGGACAGAATCCTCTGTTATTAAAAAGTAAAGCACTTTAATAATGAAAACTTTTTCCTCTTTTTCCTGTGTTTTAACTGTTTAAAATTAATGAGAAGGGCAGAATGGTTGTCAAAGCGATATTGAAAGCCGGGCAGCCAGGACCGAATAAGCACAAAAATCCCTCTAGAGTGTTAGATAAACAGAGCTCCAGCCTGCTTGAATCCCTCTGTTGGTTATTGTATACATTCTGTAACAGCTCTCAGAATAGATCTGAGAGCCAGGGAGGCAGAGAGGTTTCAGAATTCCAATAAAGGCCTCAAATTAAAGACAGCCTGGTGCGAATTCCAGGAGAAAATTAAAGAGACCTCAAGCTTAAGTGACAGGTGACTTGCTTCTGTGTCACAACTGTCAGGGGATTTAGTGATAATATGGCAATATATTACAAAGGGCTTTTCTTATTCCCCCTTTAGGTTTCAAAATGAGGCATCTTTTCTTCCCAACCAAAAAAAAAAAAAAATTACATACACACACATATATAATGTGTGTGTACAAGTGAAATAGGTAGAAAAAAGGCGATAAAACTAGGTTCACACGTTTGAAATGATGAGGTCAGTTTTAGTAAAATATAAGAAAAACTTAATGTAGAAAACATAATATACTCAGGAAAAAGCATGCCTTTCTCCCCCTACCCCCACTTTCAGAAATACTTTATTTTAAAATTACCCCTCTTGAGAATGAGGTATTTCTCAGTTGTCTTCTGGGGAGGACAGTCTAAATTTAAACCGAAGACAGGGGCAGAGTTATGCACGCAGCACCATCTCAGCCCCAGACAGGTAAAATGCTGCTGCTGTAATGAGAATAGGTCAAAGCCCGGAGGGTGCACGAATGCGCTGCAGGACTGGCGCGCCCACCCCTCAAAGACGCACAGACCCAGTACTGGTTAATGAAGCTAGCTTGCAACTAGTGGACCAGGGCTAGCTTAGGAAAATGCAGTTCCAAGGGTCCACATTCAGTATTCCTTAGTCTGTAAAGCCCTACTGATCCCTGAGAGAAGAGACGATCAAAGGGACTGAGGGAAGGGGCTGCTGATCTCATTTTAATATCTCACCATGGCCCAGTTTTTTTGTTAAGGTCCGTTTACAGGCATATTTCATAGGACAAAAAAAAAAAAACTCATAGAAAAAACATGTTTGGGTTGGTGCATACTTTGAAGATGAAAATTTCACACCCATCAAGAGGCAACAGGAGCTGAAGATACTCGGGCTGTATTTTTTGTTGTAAAAAAGTTTTAGGTGGTAGCAATGGTGGGGGGAGGGGTTTGTTTTTTTTTTTTTGGAAGCACGTCTTGATATTGCTAACTTTGAAGGTATTTTTAAAACTAAACGGAAGGATTTAGTTTTAATCATTTGATTGCCAAGTTGAGTTTCACCCTCATGCTTCCCTAGAACCTTCTGAGTGCTTCTCAGTAAAGTTGAAAGATCAAATTTATTCTCTTTGTAGGTAGGTGAACATTCGCACACCCAGACGTAGCCATATATATTTTATATACCTAAATATGAAATATACATTTTACAGATGCTTCACTCACTTTCTTTCTGTTCACAGAAGCCCAAAAATGTATGTGCCAAAGGGACATTTACAATGGACTTCAACCGAGTGAGAAGAGGGCCTTATAATGAGGTGTCTGGCTACGTGTATAAAAGACCTATTTACCGGGCACCTGGGTGGCTCAGTTGTTAAGCGTCTGCCTTTGGCTCAGGTCATGATCCCAGGGTCCTGGGATCGAGCCCCGCATTGGGGTCCCTGCTCCGCGGGAAGCCTGCTTCTCCCTCTCCCACTCCCCCTGCTTGTGTTCCCTCTCTCACTGTGTCTCTCTCTGTCAAATAAATAAATAAAATCTTAAAAAAAAAAAAAAAGACCTATTTACTGAGCCCACATTTATCTGTCTGGCACTAGTTCGTGTGCTAGACAGAACTGCCCATTCTGAGAACAGCAATTAAAACAGAACTAAAAGTTGTACCTAGCATCTACTTTATTCATCTTACTATTCACACAGATCACACACATAAAACACTCTTCCAGGCTGCAGATCTACGTGGTAATTACTAATACAGTCAATTTCATTTAGTTTCTCTTTGGCCTCTGAATTCAAGTTAACTTTGGTTAAACAAGCCAGGTTTGCATCAATGGGACACGTGGGACCTAGTAGGATTAGTTTTGTAAGATACCAGTTATTTTGGTGTCAGTGAAAGCCCAACCTTGCTGAGCACTTTTTCTCTTTTTTAAAAAAGATTTTATTTATTTATTTGTGAGAGAGAGAGAGAGCAAGGGGAACACACAGAAGTTCGGGGTGAGGGGGAGGAGAAAGAGACCCACCGCTGAGCAGCGAGCCCCATGTGGGACTTGATCCCAGGACCCTGAGATCATGACTTGAGCCGAAGGCAGCCACTTAACCGACTGAGCCACCCAGGCACCCTGAACATTTTTTCTTTTTAAAAACGAAGTTCACCACACCTTAAAAATATAAAAATATTCTATTTGTCGGGTGCCTGGGTGGCTCAGTTGTTAAGCGTCTGCCTTCAGCTCAGGTCATGATCCCAGGGTCCTGGGATCGAGTCCCACATCGGGCTCCCTGCTTGGCAGGAAGCCTGCTTCTCCTTCTCCCACTCCCCCTGCTTGTGTTCCTGTTCTCGCTCTCTCTCTCTCTCTCTGTCAAATAAATAAAATCTTAAAAAAAAAAAATTCTATTTGTCCCTCTCTATCAAGGCAGGAGCTTGGGCTGGAACAAACTGACATGGCCCAGAAGTGCATGGAGTATTTTCTGCCTCATTTTAGGTCAACTTCACAGCAACCTTCAAGATGGGCACCCTTGTTCTCAGTTTACAGATGGGAACACTGAGGCTGGAGAGAAGACAACCTGCCCAAGGTTGTAGAACCACCAGCTGTGAAGCAGAGACTGAAACCCAAGTCTGCCTGCCTCAGGGCCCCAGCAAGGCTTCAACGCTGGCCTCACACCCAGGAAGGGACTTAGGGGGTTTGGGGTTGGGGGTGGGGGGGTGGAAGGGAAGAGCCGAGCAAGAGCAAGGCCACCGGAGGGCAGAAGTGGAGAAATGGCTGTGGCTTGCTCCTGGAAGAGCAGAGGGCACTGGAGCTGCTCTGCCCCCTCCCTGGGGGAACGTCCACAGCAGGGGCTCCAGCCACAGATGTACTCGACGATCAGCTCCCTGGACAGAACTGATGTGTGCCCGGTTCAGGGACAAACATCAACAACAGAGCCGGTCCCAGAAACAGTGTAAGTAAAGATGAGATTGGACTGAACCTTTACAGTCTCATTTTGTGACCTGACTGCTTGCTCTTATTTCTGGAGAGCAGGCAGATGCTAATGTTCCAGGTGACACAGCAGAAAGCACTGGGCTTTGTATCACTGAGTCTGAACTTTGAATTCCACATCTGCTACTAACTGATGATGACGATAAACACCCTTCAGAACTGTACTGGGGTTTCCAGGTTCTTTCTTACTCAATCCTCCAATCTCCTAACCAGAAGAATACTAATATGACCTCAATTTGATATATGAAGAAACCAAGGCTTACGAAGCTCCAGTACTTGCCCGGAGCCACGGAGCTGGTAAATGAGATTGGGACTCCGACCCTGAGGCCATGCCCTTAACCCCTCTGCTCTGCTGCCCGCAGGAACAGCCCCCCTGCCTCCCCCATGCTGTCCTGGGCCTGTAATGAAGTGTCCAGGGGAACAGGAAAAAACCCTACCTAGAACTAGCTTCAGAAGAAGCGTGCAAGGACCGATGAATGTCTGGGTACTGGTCCGCTCCCTTGACAACGAACTATTAATATGGGATGTTTCATAACAAAACATTCCTTAAAACAACTGTTGATCAACTGAATCTTTTAACTGTTTCTCTTGCTTGCAGGGATCTCTGTTGTGCTAGCGTTCACTGACCAAGTCTCACCTCAACTCTTCAGCCTGATCTATTTGGCTCTAATTTTCCAGTCTATCCTTAGGCTTGAGAAAACAAATGTAAAATATCCAAATAGTATTTCATAGACAAAATTGCATTCAGCAACATTACACACACATACTGTGACGTACCAAGTCATGGGTTGGAGTGGGGTGGGGGGACAATTGCCTGGCAGAAAAGCAGCAGGAAAGGATGCTCCAGATCTCCATATGGAACTGCATGGATAACACAGATTTTTCTCCCTAATGATCTCAACCTTTACTCTTCTTCCTTGTGTGGCACCCACACTAAAAAACAGATGAACTAAGTGTGTCTGAAAGGAGACACAGAGAGATCTATTTCTTCCATGCTGTCTTGGGTGGATGGGTCCAGCCAGTCATCCTTGCTGATGATCTGGACAGGGACCACCAGGGCTGAGCATGTAATACTGCCTCCAAACTCACTCTGGGCCGGGAGGAGACCTCCTTTCTGGGAAGCCTGCTGCGGCCTGGCGGACTTCCAGAATGGACAGCAGCCCATTAACCGGATGAGACTAGCAAATACATCCGAAAGCAAAGAGAGAGAAAAATACATTCAAGGTTTGGCCTCACCTAATGTTCACGGTCCCTTAGATAGACGCCTGCTGGACAGAGGAATGAACTATCCCACACACAAAGTCTCCACCACCCCAAATCAAGAAATGAGTCACGTCTGTTCGCAGCAAGTATAATAAATAATAAAACTCACCTGGCTTCCCCATCGGCTCCCTTTAAAACAATCATCCCTTGTCAGAACAGACAAAATATCTTCCATCTTAATCTCAGAAATGCTGTAAAAGGAAGAGCATATCAAGGTAAACTTTTTATTCTTCCAGCATCTGGAATCTTGATGCATAAAACTGGCCCGTTCTCACTAATTAGATATAAAGTAGAAGCTACACCTTTATAGGAAATAGCTTCCTAAACCTTTAGGAGTTTGGAAGGAAGGGGCCTCTGCGATGCGGCAGGGGTAGATGGGGTCGTATTCCCAACACTTTCCATCCTCTCTGGTGACTTTCAAACAGGCTACATTTAGACTCTCCTCTGTAGGGATCGTGTCATTATTTCTTAACACATCTCAAATACTAAAGAAGGAAGCCTGCTTATTCATAGACTACCTTGACTTGAGCAGATGAAGAAATAAAAAATTTCGGATAGTCCCTTTAGTTTTATACTTAAAAGAAAAGAGGGGTGGGGCGGGGTGGCCAAAGATCCTTAACTGTTGGGGTCAACTCCTCAGGGAAGGCTGACAAGTGACCACAGCACCAGACTTCTCTTCCACCCAGAAGGGTGTCTACCCTCTTGCCTCTTAATTATTAAGAGGTGAGGGACAAGTGACCTCTGAAGGATTCAGAGCTATGTACAAACAGCTGAGATCAGAATTTGGGCTTCACTTGTGAGCAAAAGCCACCCTGAGCCAGAAGAAGAGGCCCACCCTGCCTCAAGGCGGGGCGGGGAAGCCTCTGCGTCCCCCATGTCCTGCAAGGCCATGGCACTCAAGCATGGGAGGTGCATGCAGATTCAAGTATCAGAGCCTAAGAAGAAGCAGGAGCTGCGGAAAACATACTTCCCAGGGAGAAGGGGAAAAAAAAAAAAAGGGAAGGCGGAGTTCTGGGGAAAAAAACAGATCATAAAAAGATAAATGATTTCCTTGTATGTTGTTTCTTTCCTTTTTTTTTTTAATGTAACAGCAAATTAATACATGAATGGCAACCTCTCATGTGGGAGAAGACAATTCTCCCCCTTTCCCCTAAAGGTTACTCTGACAAAGCTGTGAATGAAAATGTCACGTCTCTGACAGCGATTTACCTGAAATGTGTCACCGCTTCCCTGAACGCCCCCAGCCCCCGCCCCTCCACGTTCTCTTCCTCTGCTGCCAGCTCCCAGCCCCATGGATACGTGAAATCTTTTTACAGCAGGAGGAGTCAACCGGAGAAGGCAGAGCATGTACCACAAGGGTAGCAGTTTGGGGGAAAGGGCTCATGATTTCATGGAAAATCTATTTCTCATATGAGAGAAAAAAGCTGCGGCTGCTGAGTTTGCCTCTTGTTTATGCCTGGAAATCTGAAGGTGAAAACACAGCCCAGGCCTATCTTTTTGTCTAACGGACTTGCCCCTCTTCATCACTTTTTCTCTTGAGGGAAAAAAAGGAAAAGTAAAAGGAACATAAGGACTTGGGGGTGAGGTCTGGAAGCAGGGAGAAGGAAACAAAGAATAAGGCCATTCAGAGTCAGGGATACAAAGAACTGAACACACCACCGAGAGGCACCGTGTTCTGAAAGGCAGGGTGGTGCGGACACTGCGGCCAGGGCTCAGCCCCGCTGTGTGTGTCCATGTGACAGCGCTGGGCGACCAGGCACCGTAAGTGAACAGGAGCCGAGAATGGACTGATTTACAGTTTAAAAGGGCCTTCTTCCTATTCTAAGAAATTGTTCCTTCCGAGGAATAAAGCCAATCTACTCTGCTTGTTTATGGTTCTATCAACAGATTTGAATCACCCCGCCTTCCTATGAAAAGAGACAGATAAATAAATTCAGGGAACTGTCTCATACCTGATGTAAGAAATACACGTTTTGATGAAGCATTTACATTTTAATAAACCCATGATGACTTCCATTAGAAACACATTTAAAGGAGAAGTGGAAAACAGGGAAGAAGTTGGCAAACACCAGGAAGTCAGAAGGATACAGAAACAAAGTTCCGAGCATTTAGACAGAGGTGGCAATGGCCCAGGGCGCCTGTCTCTTGCCCCGCTGCTAAATTACAGTCAGGGCGTGTTCCAAGGTGCGTGGTGTACGAGGGCAGGCAGCAATTTGTTGTGATGGCCCTTGCTACCACGAGCCTCGGCCTGCCTTCCTGAATCTCTCCTCTAATTCATCAGCCGTCCCAGCATCCTGCTGCCTGGCTCCCAGGTTCTTTAGGCATGACACACACACACACACACACACACACACCCTCTGGTTTTGTTCTGTTTACACACACACACACACACACACACACACACACACACACCTTCCTTCTGGTTTTGTTTTGTTTACTATTTAGCAGTGTATCTTTTGTATTCCAAAAATGTTCAAGTCAGCTTCTTTCCACGGCACACTTTGTAATCAGGTCTTCTTAGGTATAATATTTTGGTGTTAAGTCAAGATACCCAACATCCAGCCCTTCCTCAGAAATCAGAAAGCATGATCCAAGGCTGCAACATAACGTTGATCTGGTATTTCAGGGTGGGGGGGGTACTGATTACATCAGGCCCACAAAGCAGTCAGTGGATCAGGGGCACAAAGTTCAGTGGGTACGTTTTCAGGGCAGAAAATGAGCGAGGCTGGACCCCTCCAGGACTCTTTCCCCCTTGAATGGATGTTCTCTCCACAAAAGACCTAACTCTCTTCCTCTGGGTACTTCTGTCTTCGTCTTTCTGAACTTCCCCTGCAAGTCCAAATCCTGAGAATCCCTGGATCATGGAGCTGTCTCCCGAATGTGCACTTGGTTGTGTTGGATTGCCCACAAATAGCGCTGGCACAGTTTTTTCCAGAGGAGACCATCACAGACAACGAGTGTACTTCTTATATCTTTAAAATACACGTGGCTCGCTAATAATTCAGGTTGGGGCCAACTACTATTTTCCCCTGAGTTTAGGTTTACATTTGAACCTTTCATAGCCATCACCTGAATGCGTTTATTAAAGAAAGCTTGAGAGCAGGAGAGAGGCAGAGGCACCTGGGCACATGACTTTGGGGCTGGCCAATTATCGTCTGACCTCACGACCACGGGTACCCACTTTTCTGAGCTTATCGGGTCCAAGCTAATGAGCACGGGAGAACCTCCAGGAGCTGCTGACAGGAAGGCCCAGAGAACATGAATGTGTAGGTCTAGAATAGAAGGGGGGGGAGAGACAGCCGAGGGGTAAGAGGCCACCAAGGACAAGAACATGTTCTCCCATAGATGACAACAGCCGGCTCTGAAAACACTTTCTGGACGTCTCCAAGTTCCCGTGCCAGAGGAAAACAGCCACAGTGCCGTGACAGGCTCCCGGCCTGTGAGGACGGGGGAAGGGAAGATGGGAGAAGGGACTATGAGGGCTATCATTCCATCCCCCGGGGTTTCCAGGATCCAGCTGCCCAGTCGAGCGAGCGCCAGCCTAGGCCCTGAAAGCGCCCGTAAGAAGGACGAGCCAGCCCCAGGGCCTGGGGAAACCAGCTGGAGAGGAAGCTCTTGGTGAAAGGGGACTGACCAACTGAGGGCCAGAATTCCTCTTACAAGTGAGATAAAATATGCAGTCTTCCTGAAACCAATAGAAACCACTCTTTTAATGGTGATGTTGTTTGAAGATATTAAATGACAGGAAAACCCAAACCAGCATTAGTTGGGCCCACTCAAAATCACCACCAGGTTCATCAGGAGTGGGGTCCTGCCTCCCTACCACTGAAGGGTGTACACAGGCACATCTTCTGAGGAATCCCCGGCCCACAGATGTTCCCAGGAGCAACCCCGAAACTGCTGAGTGCTGCAAAGTCTGCCCCGGGTGCAGGGAAGGAGGGAGAGGGATAGCTCTGCAGGTGGGAACAATGGCGGGCTGGTGGGGACGGTCACAGGCAGCTCTCGTATGGGTGGCCTGCACTCGGTCCCCAGACCAGTCCCACACCACCTGTTTGGAAATGTCAGTGCAGGTGCAGAATGCAATGATTCTGCCAGCTCTATACTTTAGAGAAAATGTCTCATCACTTTCTTTGATGCTTTACATAAACCACCGGGCTGGGCAAGGCAAAGCACCAGCAGACGAGGCCCTCGGGCGCAGGTGCACAGCGGAGTCATGCGCCAGCCTCACAGTGTCAGCTCCAAGCAGCAGGGCAGCCCTCCAGGCTCCCATGCGCGGCAGGATTCCTGTCCCACCCTCCTGGGCACACACACAGGACTCTTCCGTGCCTCAAAAAACACTTTCCATATCACTGTGCTATGTCTGAACAGAAGAAATTCTTGCAAGTAGACCAGTGTGAAAAACCACATGCCTTCAGCAGCCCGTTATTAGCGCCTGTTACCTCAGCTGCTGGAGCTTATACGGAAAACATTACAAAACGTTCATTTCTGTGACCCAGGTGAGTTCTTCCTGCTTCCACTACATTTGCTCCAGGCCAGGTTGAGACGCTCTTCTCCGTCTCTGCTTCACTTGTCCTTCCTGGGCGAGGTCCAGGCCCCCTGGGGGCCCCCGCTGCTCTGGCCTGCAGTCGTCCAGCTGGGGGGCCAGGGCTGGAGCGGGGGCCTCGCTCAGGGTGGTGGGCACGTGAGATGGTGGCCGCACAGCCCCGGCTGCCCCGAAAAGGTTTCTTCCCTGGGTTTATTTTCCTGGGGGAGGGGGTGCTGTGTGATGAATCAAAAATATTATTTTTTTCAAAGACAAATCATCTTTAAAGATACAAAATGTTGAGTGTGTAAAAATAAAAACTGAATAAAAAAGGTCTTCAAGCAGCCGGCTGTGAGGGCTGTGCACACATCTCTGACAGAAAGGGAAATGAAATACAGACCTCTATCTTACAGAAAAACCACGAGCAACAGATCGTTCCATGACTTAAGTCTGGCAACGCAATGAAAATTGTCATGTGCTGACGGCACGAAGGGTTTTAGTGTTTGCCACTGGCTATTCTGGGACTCATTTAGGGATCACAAGGGTTAATGGCTCTTCGTGAGCTTACAAGGCCCATCCACTGTAGAAGGCGACAGAAAGTTAATTAGGTGAGATCAGGCGAAACCCCGTTCAGGTTTCTGACTCACTTGATTTTGTGAGAAGCCAGCAAGTTGACATATTCTGCCTCCGAAGGAGCCAAAATGAGCAGGCTGCTCCCATGGCAGCCAATCCGGGCGGTTCTCCCGATCCGGTGGATGTATTCAGCAGGTGAAGGTGGCGCATTGTACTACAAAGGGTAACAAAAATGAAGCATCCACAGATCAAGGGATTGCCATTAATTGGAAGTGCAATACCCCTCACCTGCCTCCAGGTATCCCAAGAATTAAACCCTGGTGCTATGGTTACCCTCACACAATCCCAAGGAGAAGTCGCTCAACCCTGAAGTTGGAAATAACGAAGCTCTGACACACAAACATGAACAGCGGCCAAGTTTCCTATGAGTGAGCCGCCTTCCCGTCCCAGTACCTCCTTTGTAATTTTACTTCTCCACAGGTCTCTTCATTTTCCTATCTGCATCTTTTTACCGCGGTGACCGTGCAAGGTTAACCTGGAGGCAGGCGGGGGCACCCTTCTGTAGGATGGCTGCATGACCGTGGCCTGCTTCCGTGGCAGACACAGCAGTGAGGCGGAGGACACGGAGGACTGGACGGGGTCAGGAGGAAGGGGCCGGCTGCTCTGATCAGACTTCACTCTGCTGCCAGGCCGCCGAGAGCTGGTCCCCAGCACCTCACTGCACTCCCACTCAATCCCAACGGCACAGAGCTGTGGGGCAGCTGAGAGGCCGGTTCCCCTCCCACAGGGACTTGCTTCTGCTCCCAAGGACAGCATTCCTGACTTGAGGGAAAAGGCAGACTCTAACTCAGCAGAATGCATTATTTCATATTCTCTATGGCAATAACTTCGTCACCATGAAAAGGAATTGACCATTCTTCCTTTTCGTTCTTTGCTGCTACACGACTCAAAGATCAGAGGCCCAAAAGGAATAGAATGTATAGGGGAGGGGCAGGCACATGAATCTAATCAATCTGATGATACAGAAAAGCTCTGAACAACCAGTTTTATGTGTCTGCCCCTGCCCCCCCATATTAAAATTATCCTGCCTTTTTATCTTTACTTTGCTCCGTGGCCATCAGGAAAGAAGACTCAATGCCTTTAGTCAAAAAGTGGCCTTCTGCAGCGAGATCAAATTTCCTAGCCAGTGACAGGCATGCAATTCCACTAAAATGTGAATAAACCATGACTCACGTAAATGGGGTACGTGTCCCCTGGCCCTCACACAGAAGGGCTTAAAACTACCATTCTGCAGACTAACGAAAAGAAAAAACAAAACTGAAACCACCAGACTCTAGTGCTAACACCTGTACCCTCTGGCAAAGCGTCTAAGGCTAGAGGTATGTGTAAGATGCTGTCAGGGACTTAATTGCCCCCTGCAGGTCATTGTACATGGACACGGCTCTCAGGACAGCTGAGCCATCTCCTTCTGGACACAATGAGACCTCCCAAGGGCCCTGGTAATTCCTGTTATTTTCAGATTGCTGAAACTTTGTGTGTGACATGCATTTGTCTGGGAGCAGGGGAGCCTGCCCCTCCCTCCCACGACCGCTCAGCCTGGCTGTTTCCCTGCAGCAGCTAGGTGGGCTGGGTTAGGGAAAGATACCAGAAGAATTGTGCAGATAAGGCTGGTTGCTGCCTGGTTACCAGGGCAACACCCAAGAGGCTAATAATAATTATTCCACTTAAAGCCAACACATCTACTCACAGGCATATATTCCTGCGTGGAGCTCACACCTTAACAACTAAAAAATTACCTGAACAATCCATGTGACTTGAGGGAGATCTAAGCCCCGAGCTGCAACATCCTTCAAAACAGAAAAGAATATGGCTTAAGACTGAGTTTCTGAACCTTTTTTGGGCCATGGATCCATCTGATAATCTAATGCAAACTACGAGAGCTCACCACCCCCCAGTGCGCACAGGCAGGTACACGTGCGCATGCACACATGCACGCACCGGCATACAACTTCAGGGACCCACTGAAGTCCATCTGTGCTTGAAAATTCTAACTTGGGGTAAGTTCTGCAGAACATGTTGGTGAGGCAGTCACCACCCACTCTACTAGAACATAAACTGTTAGCCCAAGAACTGAAGTCATTATCAGTTGCGTCATTTAAGAACTATGAAAATTTCTAGCATGTATTATTACTTTTACATTTTCTCTGAAGGACCACTCTATGACCAATGCATTCATGGGTTATTACCCCCACCCCTTCCCAATCAGCAAAGCCTAACAGTGACATGGCTTTGAGACGTGTGTCTGGAAGATCACCCCAAAGTATTCCCTTGTGGAGGTGAGGTGCAAAGTCTTTACAGAGGACTTATCAACCTCAGATAGCTGTAAAGACCAAGTAATGTCCCACCTCTTCTGACAGTTAAATTACACCACCAGCCAGAGACTTAATCAACCAGACATAAAAACTGTAAAAGCAAAGGAGATACCTTTTTTCTTTTCAGCTGGTTGCCACCCAAAAAGCAAAGGCTCTCTGCTCTCTAGTGTCTGTCTGACCATTCTGGCACGGACTAGAGAATGGGTACCTTTCGGTTCTCGGGGATAAATTGATGCTGGGCATTTGTGTTCAAGCACCACAGTCATAATGGGAATATCCCCAGTCAACATTTCCTGAGCACTTACTATACACCAGACACTGCACCACTTCACCCGCATTATCTCGAGTGATCTTCCAAATAACTCCACAGAACAACAATTACTCCCATTTGAGGGACAGAAAACCAAGGTTCAGACAGATTAGGTAACCTGTCCAGAGACACACAGCTAAGAAGTAGAGGCAGCCCTCAAATCCAGGTCCATTTTTCTTTTCCAAGGCCATATTATGCTGTTCCACCATCAAAAAAGAGGCTGCATCCCTCATAAGCTGCTGGTGGGAATGCAAAATAGTATAAAACCCTACAGTAGGAAATTTGGTGGTATGCAGCAAAATTACATATGCACTTGCCCTCTGACCCAGATGGAATCTCACTCCTAAAAATCCATCCCAAAGACACACTGGCAAAAAATACAACATGCTGCATGCACAAAGCTACTCATTTCAGCAAAATCTGTAATTGCAGGTGTAGAAAAAGCCCCAGTGTCTGGCAGGAGACAGGTGGACTAAAAGACGGCTGTATTGACCCCCTGCAGCAGAGTGTCATACAGCTGAGACAGGAGGGAGGTGCCAGTGTGCAGACACGGAGAACCTCTACGATCTGTTCTGGGTGTGCAGAGTAGGCTTTTGTGTGAGAAATGAGGGAAATACAAATATATCTGCTCATATTTCAAAAAGAAATAACGGAGGAGAAAAGCCAAAAGCTCACAAAAGTGACCTGCAGGGGAAGGGATTGGGGGTGGCAGACAAGGGTGGAAGCTGGACTTCCTTGAAGGGACTTTGATAATCTTGACTGTGAAACAACGTAAATGTTTTGACATAACTAGAAAGACGAGCTGTCACGCCACAGGAAGTATGGAGTGTCACCTGTGGTGTATTCTTGCCAAAAACAAAAGCAAATCTAACCAGGTATGTAGCCCCAACTCCTAGTTTACAGGAAGTGCAGGGGAGGGAGGAGCACGATGGCCCATCCAAAGATGTCAAATCCTGAATGTGGAGTATTCTAAAGCACAGTCTGGTTCCTTCCAGAAAAAAATCCAAGGAAAAAAAAGGAGGGTACCAAAAATGAGACATGAAATGGGTAGATGGATAAATGGAGAGAGGAACGGAGAGATTGCCAGGGAGCCTACGCCTGGAAGGAGGCTCACCAGAACTATCACCTGTGGTTATCTTCGGGGAGAGGGATTGGGGTGATTTTTATGTTTCTCTTTGGGTTTTCCTCTATTGTTTGCTTTTTCTCTCAATGAATGCCTAGTATTTCCTCCCAAATTTTTATCTAGAAAAATTTAAACAGAAAAGCTGGAAGAATAGTACAATGAGCACTCGTGTATCCTTCACCTAGATTCATCAATCGCTAATCTTTGCACATCTGCTTTTTTTCTCTCTACACATTTTCTGAGCCATCTGAAAGTTGCAAATACCATGTTTTATTCCTACTTTAGCATGTCTCTCCTAAGTAAAAGGACATTCTTCCTCACAAACACAGTACCGGCATCATACCTAAGAAATTTAATATTAAATAACTTTTTAAAAAAGATTTTATTTATTTGACAGAGAGCTCACGCATGCGTGTGTGCGTGCAGGGGGAGCTGCAGGCAGAGGGAGAGGGAGAAGCAGACTCCCCGCTGAGCAGGGAGCCCGATGCAGGGCTCGATCCCAGGACCCCGGGATCATGACCTGAGCCGAAGGCAGACGCTTCACCGACTGAGGCACCCAAGCGCCCCAAATAACATTATTTTCAAATAATCACCTCATATTCAAATTTCTCCAACTGCACCCAAGATTGACTTTTATAGATGTTTTTATTGCCCAACTCAGGAATGACTCACAGATCATGCATTCTGTTTTTATTATCTCCCTCTAGACTTCCATAATCTAGAATGATATCCCTGCCCTTAATATTTATTTAGTTTTTTGACAACTCAATTGTGAAGGAGTCCAGGCATCTTGAAGGACACCCCAGAATCTTGTGTTTGTCTATGTCCTCGTGGTAAGATTCTGGTGGAGCTTTCTGGTGCGTGTGCTTCCCCGTACCTGACGCCAGGAGAGCCCGAGGGCAGCCTGTCCCGCACTGGGGGGAGCTGTGCACGATCCCCCAAGGAAGTGGCATCCAGGTGAAGGGATCCTTCTCCTTTGTAACTAATCAGTAAACTGGGGAGGGAAACTTTGAGACTGTTTCCCAAAACCTTTTGCCCAGAGGCCTTAGGGTCGCCTGACGCTGCCCGTCTGCACCAACGGTTGCCCTGGTGGCAGCAAGCGGATGGCTTCCGAAGTCTGTCATACCCTTCTTCCATTTAATAGTTGGCATTTTTCTGTAAAGCACAGCTCGCCTTTCTCTCCCCTTACTTTGCATGCAGAGAGCTTTCCCGGAGAACAATAACCCTGTGCAAAGTCTCTGCAGGAAGCACGCTGAGATGCCCGCGCCCCGTGTTGCCCGGCGTCAGGGGCGGGAGCCAAGGAGGGCACTGGCCCGCCGGCATCTAACCCACTGGGAGGGGCCACTGAGGGCAGGCTGGGATTTGTCTGCCTTCGCTCTGACTACACCTGAGCTGGCAGGTTTCCTCTGAACGGTGGCTAGGCTACATTTATTAAGTATTAAGTGGGAGTTTAATGTACTAAGTGTGTCAACCACCCACGAGGTGTTTTCAGACAGCTCCCACTGCCCAGAAAACTGAAGGTTGATGTTCCAGAGCTGATGCCTTTGAGAACACGATTTAGAGAGTTCTCTATCTTAAAGGGGAGCAGGAACTGCTTTCTACACTAACCACAGCTGATGTCTTTAGAAAAACTGACGGGTTCTTAAATCTGCTAAGCTCTTGTTAAGAAGTGATTTATTTTATTTAAGTGCTCTGCAGTGGGAGATGCATGTAGACAATGGGCTGTCTGAGCTTTACAGACAAGCTTTGTAAAAAATTTAATGCTCATCGGTTTAGTAAATTCAACCAAGAAACACAGATGAAACTCTAAAATAGCACATGACGTTCGTGGAACTCACTGAGCACACTTTCAGCCACAGTAAGGAAGAATGCCAGCAGCCTTCATGGGACCGTTCGCGGTTCTATTTTCTGCTTGGGTGATCTGGGTCCGGGGGACTGGCCAAGACACCATCTTCCCATCTCCCACCACTTTTTGTCTTGGGGTGGGGGACCCTCACTGACAGCCACCCCTGCTCAGGCTTCACCCGGCCATTTCTGCAAGTCCTCCTTCCTATTCTCAGCCTAGGCTACCACAGAGAATGAGACAAAGGGATAACCTTCAGGGTCTAGGAACAGAGAGAACTGGACTCCACCATCCCTCTACAGCCATACCATCTGGGCAAGTCAACGCACCTCCCTGACCCTCAGTTTACTCACTTATACGATGGCTATAAGATTCACCCTATTTATCTCATGAGGTTGCTGTGAAGACCAAACAAGACTATGCATGTGGAAGTGCACTGAGAGTTACAAATCCAAGGATTTCCTTCCATGATGAAGCAGGAATCAGCAGCACGGTGGCGATTAGGCAGTGGTCTGTGATTCTCCTCACACCCACCACCCAACCGGGGCAGAGGACTGCAGAGAAGCCAGGGTATGCTCCATCCTCCAGAACGCCACCAGCCAGTGGCACAGGATCGACAGGAAACTGACCTGCCCAAGACTCAGCAAAGGCTTTGGTTTTCTGCCCTCTTAGAACTTAGACCCAGCCCAACTGTATTCCTTTGAGCTAATTAGGGCAAAAGAATTGCTAAAGTAAGTTCTGAAAGACACTCAACAGTGAGGCCTTGAAGGCCCAGGGCTTGACAATTGGCTGCCTCCATGAGACCAAGGAGTACAGATGGAAGGCAGCTTGCTCAGGTGCCAGCCTGTCAGTTGGATTAAAATGACTCATTTATTTACCCAAGAACCTCACAAAGTGCTTTTACTAACAGGGAGAGGGGGCCTGCCGGCTCTCTGAGCAAGGGACGCAGCAAATTCGCCTCTGCTGCCTCCCCGGCCTGCCAAAAGTCATTATTGCCGTGTGTGGAAAGCCATCAGCGGGGTACAGGCCCCCGTTGTCCGGGTGACAGATTGGGCTGCGTAATCAGAGGAGGAAGGAGAGAGTGCAGAAGCTGTCAGAGGCGAGAGATCTTGGCTGGAGCCGCCAAAAAACTGGCAACATGAGTTAGCGTAACTGAGTAAACAGCCGACCATCTCCAAATGATCTTGCCATTAACACGAGTGAAATAAAGTGGAAAAGAGAAACTTTACCTCAAAAGCACGCCCCAGAGAAAACCAACAAAGTCTACATTTATTGTCAGTGGTGAACTGACATTCCTGTGACTCTCACAGTCTCACCCCCTGGCCTCCTTTGTCTCCCAGCCTCCTGGAACAGTGGAAATTCCCCAGGAGGAGGGAAATTAAGAACTGCACAGACATAACAGTGTGCTTCAAGACAAAAAAAAAAATTGAGAAGGTGGAGGAAAACAGCACAGGTGATTCAGGTGTCTTCTAAAAGAAAGCCCGTGCTGGATGGCCAACCAAGATGCAGTCCAACGGAGAACCGGCCAGCAGACCAAGGGGAGCTGGGAGTGGCCCTCCGTGCCGGGAGAAAGGTTACTGCGCTCTGTTTATCCAGGGACGAGCAGGGAGCGCCACATGTACAAGAGAAAGCCCAGTGTCAGCCTTACGACTGGAGGCGGCTCAGGAGTATCATTTTCCAGTCACTCCGTGGTGCTTCCCTCTACCAACTCATCCACGTAACAATGGTGTTGAAACCCACCTTCCCCTCCTTTGGCTGAAGGTGAGTTCTTCACCAGAAGCAGGAGGAAATATTTTGTAGGTAACCCAATATCTCCTGATTCCTTTGATTTCTTTATTCCATTTAGGAAAGTGGGTTTTGAACTTTCAAACGGCTCCTTCCTGCTAATTCCTACTCCCTTCTTGACTTGGCTTCTTCTTCGATCTACTTCCCTGGAGCACACAAACTTAACATTTCAAATGTGTAAGGACCGCTCTTTCACAAACTGGTGTCTCCTGCCCGGCCTGGCCTCTCACTTCTGCCTACGCTTCACGCTGGCATGGCCTCACACAGTTACTGAGAACCCACAGTACACAAAGTCATGTACCAGGTCCTAAAAGGCTGCATAAAATTAGAAAGGTCCTTGCTTTAAGATGTTCATAATTAAGGTGAAAGAAAGAAAACACACACACACACACACACACCCTTAACTGCTCCTAATAGCAGAAATGTCGGCAGGGAGGAAAATGGATCGGGGGAGGGATTTTCAAAGTAACTAGCAGCACTGGGAGTTTCTGACTGGTTTCCACCACAGTTCCCAACTTCTCACACAGACGTTCAGTCTCCTGAGCTCATTAAAAGATCTTGGGATGAGGAATCAAAACGGCAAAAGGTATGGTATAAAGGGGAGGGAAAATCCCCCTGCCACAATTAACAACACGATTCCTCTTTACCGAAAGAAGCCGGTTCTCCATCTGCCTTGTCCTGACGTGGTCCCCGTTCCTCATTAACACTACGGAGGCTCCTGGAGAGCATGCAGAGGGCCTGGCAAGCAACAGGCTGCTTAAAAGACACAAAGTGACAGCATCTCCCCAACCTAGCCATGATCTACTGCAGCAGGTCTCCTGTGCCTACAGCTCTCGGGCACCAGAAGCTTCAGGCTGAAGCAAATGAACATGGCAGAGCTAGCAGGAATTCGGAGAGGGTGAATGAAGAGCTCCTCATCACCAGAGAGCATGTGCTTGAAGCCGGGCTTAGAGATGGCTGGAAGTGAGCCCCTCCACCCCCTAGCCCTTCCCTAATAATCTTCACCACACAATGAAGAAGAGGTGAGGCTAGGCTGTCAGGTCAGCATACTGGAAGGTTCCTCAACAAGCAAACACACACACACCAAGAACCTTTAGTGAAATCAGATTGCCAGCAAGTGAGAGTCAGCTTTCTGTGCGGCACTCGGGACTGGCAGGGGACAGAGGGGTGGGGGTGCTGTTCTCTGCCAAGTCAGGGGCGCTCTTTGTCTGGCTGAACTCACTTTGTCTGCAGATATCAGCCAGATGAAACAAGGAAAGTTGTCATAGGCTTCTGACCCCATTGAGAATTACTTTAAAAAAGAATGACCTTTACTTGCATGTAAACCTACCAAAAAGACCAAAACCAAAACCAACGAAAACACCGAACTTCAAATCCTTGGAGTCCTCTTTGAGACCCAGAGCTGACCCATGTCTGTAAAAAACACCAGGAGACTTGAAAATTTTCCACCAGGGACAAACCCAACATCTTAAAGGTCAAAGATAAAACATTTTGTTCCTGTCTTAAACTCCCACACAAAGGTTCCTACTGTTCCCGTTTCGATATGGACAACCTGTAACATTCACCCCTCAGGTACATCATGTGTATGAAAAAGACGACTTATTCCCATGAGCAAGCATAACTTTAGCCTCTCTCAGTCTTCAGAGAAAGGCAGGGAGATAGTGCTGGTTTTCAACGCTGTGTTTCTTGAGTCCCAACTCTCCACCTGTTTGGTCCACAAATAGTGTGTACACACACCTGCTCCGCGCCAGACACTGACCGGGGACTACAGATAAGACGCAGTCCATCTCTAGGGGCTCATGATCTTGGGGGGACGACACCTAAGACCAGGTGTGATGAGTGCCACAAAGAAGTGTGGGGTACAGTGGGAGTGCCTAATGGGGAAAAACTGGGGTTCCCGGAGTTCACTTTCCTGAAAAACTGAAATTGAAGCGGAGGCCTAAGGAGGGACTAGTCCAAGTCAGGGCGGGCTTCCCAGGCAGAGGGAATGCACATACGAGGTCCCCAAGGCCAGAAAAAGGAGGGATGCTGCATTCAGGGAGCAGGAAGAGGTGGCTGTCTGGCTGAGGGCAGGGAACAAGGGGGGAAAGTGGAGACAAAGGAGACAGGAAGGGGTCAGGATCCAGCAAGTATAATTAGACACGGTTAGGACTGTTGACAAATTTCTTTGTCAAGTAGATCATCTGGACTCATCTTCACTGTAGACCCGGCCTTTACAGGTGGTTGAGCGCAAACACAAGCGTCTGATTTGCGGATGGGCTTCACAAAGGGTAGGGCTACTGATCAGACCTGGTCTTCCTCAGGAGGCAGGCGTGCCAGGAGTGACCACAGATCTGCACGACCGAGTCACAGAGCCACAGTTTGCCACACTCGTGTGAGAACTGGCACCCTGTGATAAATGGGTGACTGGGCAGCCACCTCGTGCAGAAGAAACAAAGCCGTACTCATAAACCCTGCGTTTGGGAAGAGGACAATGCCTGTTACCTTGAAAACTGAATGCAGAGCAGGGGTTCCTTAAAATATAACTGCATGGGCGCCTGGGTGGCTCAGTTGGTTAAGCGTCTGCCTTTGGCTCAGGTCATGATCCCAGGGTCCTGGGATTGAGTCCTGCATCAGGCTCCCCCTGCTTTGCAGGGAGCCTGCTTCTCCCTCTGCCTCTGCTGTCACTCCCCCTGCTTGTGCTCTTTCTCTCCCTCTGTCAAATAAATAAACAAAATCTTAAAAAAAAAAAAAAGTAAATGCACGGAAAAGCGAGGCCTAGACAACAGCCAACAGTCTGTTCTGCCCGGCACTCGCCCACTGGATGACCCGGTTTCAGCGCAACTTCAGGACTGCATGGACAGGGATTTCTCAGATACCCAGGTGGGGGTTAAGTTACACCATCCAAGATGGCACAAGGAGGGAAGATACTTTAATCTTGGGAGCTGGCGACAACCATGGTGAAGTGAATCCCCAGAGAAGAGGGCACCGAATGTGTGAGTTTTCAATCTCAAAAGAGCACACAAGAGGCGCATCCAAGAGGCCAGCTCTGCGCTGCAGGCGGCGGCTGTGCGAGCCCGCCAGGACTGAAGGCTGAATGACCTGGCCCCAAAAACTGCAGGGCAAATAACAGTTTTAGACAACAGCAAAGAAAATCTGTCCAAGCACATCTATTTTCCTTTTAAAAAAGGCGAGCAGAGGCAAGGAGAGTGGTTCTGTTGCGAAGAGACTTTCTCAGCTCTAATTACTCCCGATAGCTGTAATTTACACGTTTTTGGTGGATAGAAATCGCCCAGATTCACACGTTTTCAGACCAACAGCTGCCACTATTAGTGAGCAAATTGGCATGACTTCTGCGTGGTGTCACAGTCAGGTGACACACCAGAAGTGCAAGGCGACCCACCCCACCCACAAGTCCCTGCTAGCCCGGCTCCCTGTGGGGCTGGCTGCGAGGCAACCTGGCAAGAGGAAAGGCAGGGGGTCCTGGCCTCCCCGTGGAGTGCAGAGGGGTACATACCGTACAAAGAAGGACGCCTGTCTTGGAATGTGAGAATTCTTCAAACACTGCTGTTCTTTCCTACAAAAACAAGGAAAAACACGGCCTTACGACTCTGAGGTCAGTCCCAGCACAGTAGTAGACTTAGATTCCCATAACTCGCCTGTTTCCTACTGCTAGATCTACTTCTAGGCACTGAGAGGCTTTACCAAGAAAGAGGAGGAAGTAGATCCTCCCCATCTTCCCATCAGATCCTGTCCTTCCGGGACTAGACTTCTCTGACTGAAACAAAGTAGTGGAGCGTTGGGGGCAGCACATCTCAGTAAGACAGGGCCAGGGGGGCACACCCTTTGGGAACGGCTGATACCAGGAGCAGGCAAGGCCCCAGGCCACAAATTACTGCACTCCCGGTTCCCAACTCAGAAGTTATTCTAAACACGTTTTTCTACAGGTGGTCCAGAGGCATGAAAAACAACCACCTTTCCTACAGAGCAATTTTTTAAAAATGAATTTTAAAGAAAACTTAAAAATTATAAAACCATATATTTCAACTGGAAAAAGTTATATATTTTAAGTCAGAGAAAGAAAACCAAATCGTCCCACCACTCAAAGCAAACAAACCCCACCACAGGCAACCCCTTCTGGGCATGTGACCCAAGACGTGGCTTCTTAAGGAATAGCAGTATGCTACTTCTACTACTAACATGCTCTTGTACCAATAGGATATGAAGGTCCTTTCGTGCCAACAAATCTGCATTCAGCTCAGTCAATGCCCCGTGACGGGCACCTGTGGTTGTCTCCGATTGTTTGCTATTACACCCAATGCTGTGATCAACACCTTCACAGATAATCTGTTGCACATGTGTTTCATCACTCCCTTGGGGTGAAGCCCTAAAGGCAGTCTTGCTGCACCACAGGATGTGTCCACTCGAAAGGCCTGCCAAGGGCATGCTCAACGTGGCCCGAGTCACAGCACGGTGAGCGGCTCAGACTTGGCCGTGTCTGTCTGTCAGCAACAGAAAAAGGAATACAACCAAATCACTAAAAATGTAGAAAAAAGGAAAAAGTGATGTCTCTCCTTCCGCTTGGGCACAGCTATCACGCCACTGGGGTGTACCTCATTCTGGTCCTTCACGTGCATCTCCTTGGTCACGTGACTGGAAGGTCCGGGCACACCTCACTGAGCATGGTGGGTAATGACAACCAGCACACACAGCCCATGCTCTGTGGGCCTGAACTTCGCCTCATCCGCACAAAACCCCATGAGCAGTACTATCACCACCCCCATTTCCAGATGGAGGAACTGAGGCACAGAAAGGTGAAGTCACTTCTTGCCCAAGCGACGTGCACACAGCAGAGGATTGGACTGGCACCTGTACCTAGGGAGCTGTGTTCCAGAGCCGGCAGCCAGGCTCCGGGGAGGACAGCTGCACTTGCCCAGAGTGCTTCACGGTCTTTAGAAGCGTCATGTTTAATGGATACATTGTAGACTGAAAATTAGAAAAAAAAATCAGGAAAAGTTCATAAAAGCCTGTGAGATGTCCTGTGGACTGGACGTAACATATTCAGATTTGGAGTAAGGAAAAAACTGCCAAACCCGGAGCATTCCTCCCAGCGATCAGGCGGCAACTTCTTCAAATGGCAACTGCTCCCTAACACTCACAAACATGGTCAGGGCCACATCAACCACCAGGGAGACCATACTAAGGTCACATGGAGCAGCGGCCAGGCAGATGGGACTGGGCTGGTTTTAGCTTAGCATGGGATGAGAACGCCAGTAGAACGGTATCTAGAGGTACTGCCTCCCACCTTCTACCCATCTCATGAGAAGGCCATGAAGGCTAAATACTTTAAATAAACAGAACAACACAAGTGGCAGACTGACCATTCGGGAAAGAGCGAGAACAAGAGTAGTAACAGCACCTCCTCCCACAGAACCCGCACGAACCAGGTCCTACGCTGAGCATGTACTCTGCATTCACTTAGTGCCTCACCACGCCAACCCTGTGAAGTATGTACCAGTATCCCCTCCCTCTGAGAGACAGGCTAACTGGGGCACGGGAAGGTGACATGCTCTCCTGAGGTCACACAGCCGGTAAAGGCAGAGGCAGGACCAGAGCAGACAGCCGTGAGCGCCCTGCTGGACCACTGCCCTTCGAACGTGAGGCAGTTTGAAATAATTTCACTACAGAGCTTTTGCATGGCCTCTTCAAATTCCTAGATGCTCCCGGGCCTGTGTCCAGCTCCCTCGTCACCCTCCCACCCGCCCTGCAGAAGGCCTCGGGTGAAAAAGACCCAGAGGATGAGGAACAAACGCCGTAAAGGGCATTAAATTATGAAATCTACAAACTCAACTAAATCAGGGACCTTGAAGTTGAAAACCAAGCACAAAGGCTGGACTACTCAGGAAATTCTATCCAAACTTGTGGTAAATGAGAAGCAATGTCCTTGAGTGACCTTGAGCAAGCTCCCTTTTCGGAGGCTCCACATTCTTCATTATTAAAACAACAAAGCAGGCACAAGAAGGGGGCTGGACTTGATGACTTTAATGTCTCCTTCAGCTCCAAAGACGTTGTGTGTTGCCAGTCAAGTCTTGCCCCAGTTCCTGGTCGTCCCCCCACCGTCTTGCGCGCCTGGTCACCTCCTTCTAGGGCAACACGGCTCCCCCTCGCGGGCCTGCCCGTCCTCCTCCCACGCCAGCACGCTCCCCTCAGTCTGCTCTCCGCCGACCCCCTCAACGGAATGAGGGCCATGTGGCTCAGAATCCAAAATCAGGGAGACGCTCTTCTCTTCTTCCAGAACAACAGTATTACTCGGAGCCGAGACAAGAGCTGAGACCCTGAAGCCCCTCTCCCAACCAAGGTGTTCAGAGTCAAAGCGCTGTATCTTGTTGACAATGACAGCAGTCGCGCTCAGCAGTACCATATGGGATCCACAATTTAGCTCCATTAATGCTCTTAATTTGAAGACATCAAGCCCTAATTACACACTGGGTACTAAAAAGGCAAAACCCTTCCCTGGTGCCAGCTACTTAGTGGTACTCTGTTGCCTTAACAGCTGGTTGAGGCAGACTCGGGCCAAGACGGGCCTGTGAGCTCTCTCAGGTGGAAGAGGGCAGCTCCCAGAGCAAGAGCGCATGCAAACAACAGACGCCCTTGCCCAGGCCGCTGACGCAGCCATGGGGTCTGCTTCCAGTGCCAGCAGGCCGCCCACCTGGGGCGCGTCCCCACCCAGCCCAGTGGGGTCTGAGAGGGAAGGCCGCGCCAACCCCGGAGGACACGCACCCGCCTCCACTCCCGGGGCCGGCACGGTGCTCACCTCCTGCTCCATGTTGCCGTGCAGTCGCAGGAATTTTAATGGCGTGGAGGCAGATGGTAGCGGCCCTGACGCCGGGGCCCCGGAGCGGCTCTGCAGGGTCTGTAGGAAGAGGTGGTAGTGGAACTCCACCAGTTCACAACTCGAGAAAAAGACGATCATCTTCTGGTCTTTTTCAAACTACATCGGTACAAAGGGGGGAAAGAACCACCACGTTTTTAAGATCAGGTGACGCTAAAATGAGTTCATTCTCTAAAATACCCAGTCCTGCCAGCCCCATCTGGAAACGGGGACAGGCAGCTTTGAATGATTTTACAAAAATAACCGTGATACAACATGCTACAAAGAGGAGATGAAAGGAAAATGGTAGAGCTGTAACTTCGACCGGGTTTCCCAAATCTGAGACAAACACACACGCCGTAGGCTGGGGCTGTGCGCTACTGTTCTCTGCACACATCCAGGGCTTGCCGTGCACGCAGCAGACGTGAGGCTTCACCCTCCAGCCCCTGCACCCACTACTCTCCCACATACCACGGAAAGTTAGCACGCGATCCCGTAAACACAGAAATACTGGGATTCTTTCAAAACCACGAGCATGGGCCCCTCCGCCTGCCCACATTCAGGATGTCTCTGCTACCTGTGACGCTCCTGGTTCTCAGGCCCAGAAGAGGATTAGGGCAGATTTCATGTAGAACGTAGCAGCTATCCCTGACCTCTGGTTCTCTACTACAACCCTGAAACTGCTGACTGGTAAGGTCTGCGTTCGTGAACACGGTTGAGTTGGAAAACTTTTTGAGGGTCCCTCAGTTCGCTGCTATCAACACATGACACAAAGAAAATGGGACCTTCTTCCCTCGACTGAGCCGGGCCTTGAGTGTGGGCCTCACATGTGGGCCCACCTTGCACTGCTGTAGGATGAAGGCCGCCAGGGAGACGAGCCTCAGTTTGCTGGGAACCAGTGTCACATGCTGATCGAGGCTCTCCGGAATCGCAAAGCTGTCTGGCTCAGCACCAGCTGGGAGAGGGGAGGCCTCAGGAACTGCTCTGCCCTTTGGGTCAGACTGGCCACGGTGTTCATCCAGGACAGAAATCCTGACCGGATTGAGCAAGCTGATATCAGCTAGCCGTGTCACACCTTGGAGCAAAAGTGAAAGAAGCAAAACAGGTGACAGGCACCCAGTGTGAGGTTAGTCTCGTAAGCGCACCCCCCACACCACACGTCCAGGCTGATGAAGAGGCTCCCTATGGGCAACACCAGGGCCGCAAGGGCCTGCCCTGTGCTCGATCTGGTGGAGGAGGCCCACTGATTCCACACCAGCATTTCTCAACTCTGACCTGGGCAAGACCACTGAAAGGGACACTAACAGCTGTCTCCCCCGCCCTGCCCCGCCCTGGAAGGGTTCTACAGTTCTATCTACTGATAAAAGGGTGTCACAGGATTCTGTCATTGGGTTTTACAGGTTTACAGGCCTTCTCAGAACCTTTATTGTGCTGACACACACCAGGAATTTCTAAGAGCAGGAGGAAACGTGTGGCATTCCCCAAACTTCTGAGCATAGAATCATGGATTATCTCTCAAAATTAATGTACTTAGGATACATTTTGAGAACTGGTATGTGCACACTGTCATAGGGCCAGTAAAACGTGTAAACCAGACCTGAGAACGTGCGAGCTGGGTTGTGTTGAGAGGGTGACTGCCGAGCCCCAGTGCCCCGTCTATGAAAGAGAGCTCAGAATGTCCATCTCATGAAGATAGAGACAGAAATGAACTCAGGTCTCTGTTTAAGGGTCAACGCTCTTTAAGAGAAAGGTAGGCTGATAACACCCACAAAAAAACCTCATGAAACCTCTGGATGGACGGGAGTCAGCCTCTTCTCTTCCTCTCGCCCGGCCACGAGCACCCGAAGCACTCTCCTAACTGAGGTGGCTCTGGATCTGCCCTGCCCTCCGTCCCACACCCTGGGGAGCATGGGAGAGCCTGATGTGACTGGAAGAGGGAGGCAAGACAGGAGTCTGAAAAGGCAGTGCTTTAGGGACACCTGCCTCCTCAGCTTCTGCCCCCAGCGCTGAGAACCACTGCGGACAAATGACACCCGTTACATCTACATCTTCCCTCCTGGTTAAGAACAAAGAGCATTCCTTTTCAACTCACCTTCTGTCAGTGTCGCCGACAGCAAGACGTTCTGTCGTTTCTGACACTCAGCATTTATAGCGTTGAGTATCACTGTGATATCCTTTTCAAAACCCAAATCCAAGATTCTGTGGTTTCAAGAGAGGGAATTTTACTCCACGTGCAAAGTAAAGACTGTAATGAGGCAGCAGAAGCAGCTCTTTTCTGCTACTTTTCATGCTTCTGGGTGAGGCTCACCTGTCTGCTTCATCCAAAATCAGCCACTGTATCCGACGAAAATGAATGTTCTTTGTGGATTTTATATGGTCCACCAGTCGCCCAGGAGTTGAGATAAGGATATTTACTCCTTTGCGGAGTCTGTTTAAAATTACATATCATAAAAGAAAGTAAATCAAACGGGCCTATATCAATAGAAAACACCAGAAATAGGCACAGGAGACAGATTCTAGTCCCCACATGCACAGCATGAAGCCGTGACAAACGCGATGACAAATGGGTACAAAGATGTACCTGAGTTTCCATCTTCCTCCAAAGTTTCTTCCATACAGAATGTAATTATTAAGATCCAAAATTGTATTAAATTCATAAAATCTTAAATTTGAAAGGAATCTTTATTATATAATCCAATGCCCTTTCTCTGATCCATGGATCCTTTCTTTCTAGAACATTCCAGATAGACGGTCATCTAGCCTGTTCTTGAAGGTTTCTGTGCCAGGGAACCTCCAACCTAAAGGAGTTATCCCACATAAATGTGATCTAACGGCTGGAATGTTTTCTTACACCGAATCTTTTTTGTAACCTCCATACAATGGGGGCCCAGCTTTGTCCTGCAGACTGAGGAGAATAAATCGAAGTTCTTGTTCCCAAACGTCCTTTATCCCATACTTCCACAGCAATTAAAGCTTCCAATTTTTAGCTGAGTCTATTTTCCAGTCTCTCTTGAAGTTAAGTATGGTCGTGTACCTATGTTCAAGCATGGGATAGGAGGACAAAGGGAATGTGCAGAAACCACAAGTATCTCTGGAGGGAGAACGTATGATGATCTTGGCTCCTGCTGGCAGGGAACAAGATGTAATGGCTGGAGCTCTAACAACTCGCTAAGAATATGGGGTACCCTTAAAAATGGAAGCCTCACTTAGTGGTACAAAAAGATAGAAGGGACTTAGATCCTGATACCAGAGCACCATGCCAGCCTGGGATGGGTTACCATCAGGCTTCTTAAATGTGAAAGAAAAAGAAAACTGCCATATGTTTGTGCCCCTGTTGTTTGTTGTTGTTATTTATAGCTGAATCAAATCTAACCAATACCTTTAGGTTTCAAGTTTAATATTTACTCCTGATTACGAACTACACACAGGACTGGGTGTTACTATGGAGCGTTAAGATACAATACAATAGGGCGCCTGGGTGGCTCAGCTGGCTGAGCGACTGCCTTCGGCTCAGGTCATGATCCTGGAGTCCCGGGATCGAGTCCCGCATTTGGCTTCCTGCTCAGCGGGGAGTCTGCTTCTCCCTCGGACCCTCCCCCCTCTCATGCTCTCTCTCTCTCTCATTCTCTCTCTCAAATAAATAAATAAAATCTTTAAAAAAAAGATACAATAAAATGTTTCAAAAAGCATACAATTTGGGATTTACCTGTTGCAACATTTTCTCTGACCCCCATTACCACTTCTAATACAGAACTAGGAATCAGTGTTTTGGATATAAAAAGCAAAGTTTAGAGCATTGTGTAAGTTTATGATCTTGTTTTTGTAGAGCCAAACAACAAGACCCTAAACTCCCAATGTAGACAAAAGAGACCTGCCAAGAGGGATGGACACCAAACAGGGGGGACACTAAGGGATGCTGGGGTGGGGGGCAGAACCTAAGAGTACAGTGAGCATCGCGACCAACCACATCAGAAGGGAACCCCTTGTAGGTTCATCAGTCTTTCTTAAGACAACACGGTCAGGAAGTGACCGCTCCCTGCTGCCTCAAACTGTCCCTACGCTCTGGGACTATGAAGCACAGTTTGAGAAAACGCTTTCTCCAGGTTTAGAAGGACCAAATCTCATTGAATAGGACGGCAGAACATACAGATCCAAACAGGAATGGATAACAAAGGTCCCCATACCTGGCCTTTTCTGATTTCCTTCTCTCTCCTCCCATCAACACTCCAGGCACAATCCAGGTAAATGGCTACGGAATGATATCAGACAAAAATCAGTGAAAAGCACCCCCCCCCTTTAAAGATTGGATTTATTTATTCGACAGAGAGAGAGAGCTAGAAAGCATAAGGTGAGGGGCAGGGAATGGGAGAGGGAGAAGCAGACTCCCCATGGAGCAGGGAACCTGATGTGGGGCTCAATCCCAGGACTCTGGGATCGTGACCTGAGCCAAAGGCAGACACTTAATGAAGTAAGCCACCCAGGTGCCCCATCAAAGCCCCCTTTACTGAAGACACAGAAACTGATTCCAAATTCTGTTTCCTTAGAGAAGCTGGAAGGGAAGACCCAGGCTTCTCATTGTAGGAGGTGTGACTGTGCAGACACAATTCCTAGACATTGCCCCTGCTGTGGATACTAGCAGCAGTCACTTAAATTACAGCTCTATAGCTTCTAGCACAGCGAGAGAAATGGGAGCTTTCCAAATGATTCCAGTAGCTTCTCTGCCTCTCCCCATGGAGCCCGAGTTGAAAACACATTTCCCTAAGTCTACTGCCTCTTTTTCCTTTCTGGGTACAATAAAACCCAAGCACAAACCTTCCTTTCTCCCCACCCCTGACAAAAGAAAGATCAATTCTCGATCTAATTTGGTAGGCTGGCAGGCTTTGGCTCTGAAGCCCTCTCTCGCTTCTTTCTTAAACCCTACGTGTGGCTCTCCCGTAGCTTTCCATGTGATCACTTCGTGGTTGTCCCTGTGAGTCTCCACGTGTGGCTTGCCAGGGACCATGGTGAACAAACCACAGGACTATAAGCAAAGGAAACACTAGCGAACTAAAGCGAGAAATCAGCAGTTAGTAGAGTCTAGATCAGTAAAATCCTACAAATTATACCTGGACAGAGCAGAGAAACCCAGGGAATCCATAAAAACTGAAATAATTCCTTGCCTTTTGAAGATGAAGATAAGACTGGTAGACTTCTCTTTTCTCAAAAAGTCAAGGAAAACAAAGATAAAACTGAAGTCACGGCTCACCTTAAGCAGTTTCTGGACAGTGTTAAAGCTTTGCAGAGCCAGCTGTGAAGAGTGAAAAGTTACAGGTAATGAATGAGGTTGTTCCCACCTGCCCCTGCCGCCCCTGCCCTGCCTCAGCCCTAACCTTTTAAAAACCTTTAGACAATGTAAAGTGATTAGGATTCCAACTCCGACCTTAAGATTTAAGAAAAACAAAATCTGATACACAGCATCTACTCAGAACAATACACTTTGTTCTTACACTCCTTCTGGAACCTGTCAGTTTGGAGAATGTGGACAGAGATACTGCGTCCACTCCTTGGACATGTACAAAAATAGTGTCTTGTGCTCCCTCTGCTGGCTCAAATTCCCAGAGTGCCACACAGAGAAGTACAAGTCTACGGTGCACACGGATGGAGAAGCGGAACAGCATCACCCTGAATGTGCCTCCCTTCAGGAAGACAGAGAACAGAATACGCAGGAGGGAGAAACCTGGAATAGCGGTCAACAGGTTCGCCTCTGGGCACATTGCTTTAAAGGTCGTAGGAGGTACCCTTCGAATATGCCAAATAGAGCACTGAGAGGTGGTCACTCCCCAAGTTTATTAAAGGAACAAATTCCAACAAGCCCAGTGGAAACCAGAGAAAGTGAAAATTAATGTAGGTTATAACCATTAACAACTATCAAGAAGCCTCAACATAATCCCTTTATCCAAAGATACGCATAGAGCTTCCATATGCTTAGTATTCATGATGCATCTTAGGGAAGTATCAAGTTTGCTGCTGTAAAAATTTAAATAGCTTCATGCCTGCTCCTTCACAGGACTGAGCCGAGATAGGGCACTGCAGGCTGTATAACAGGCTAAGTAGAAACCTCCATCTCCATGATCAATTCTCTGCAAGGAAGGGATTATCATTTGATGTAGAAAACAGACACCCTGATCTAAACTTGCCTCTCTAGGCAAATAAAATTGATCAGATAGAAAAGATTTCCACCAAGAAAGAAGAAAAATGTCAAGAAGCTTAACTTTGAAGAACAAGTAAAATTTTTGGTACAGTAGCCTCTTTAAAAAAAGGCTATTTTAGGGTCGACTGCTCTAATTTTTAATTAAGTTATAAAACAAACCAAAAAAGTAGAAAATGTAATTATTTTAACTCCTTTTAAAAGTACAGAAATTTATAGTGTCGTTGGTTTTTAGACAACAAGGAAATGCTTTTCCATACTTAGCTTATGATTTTCAAAAAGAGTACTCGAATTTTTCTTCTTGATGGGAACCAAAAGGATGGCCCCAGGCAAAGGTAAGGGTGCAGCAGGGAGAAAAATGGTAAAACCCACTTTTAAATTCAAAAGGATCTTACTTCCAAAAGGAAAGTACCTGCTTACTACCCAACCCGCAGGTGAGACTGCTTACCTCTCTTGTCGGCACCAGTACCAGGGCATAGGGGCCGTCACTGCGCTATTGACACAGAAGGAAAGGAGTGCTGTGAGTGGACGAATGAAGGTCACAGGCCTCCAGGTGGACAGAACTCGAGGGTGGCCACTTGCACACGTCAGCAACAGTCTCATTAAGAAAGGGACTCCGATGCCCACTACCCTTATTATTATGCAACCTTGTTCTAAAGGTTCCAGCCCATGCAATCAGACAAGAGAAAGAAATATGTATAAATCTGCAAAGTAGGAGGTAAACCTGTCATTGTTAGCAGATGATATTTTATCCTTAAAAAAAAAAACAACCTGAAGTGAATCAATTGAAAATCTACTACAAAAAAGACAACTCAGTGGAGTAGCTGAATGCAAAATTAATATACACCATCTACAGCCTTCTGATGTAAAAAAGTTACAAAATACAATGGAAGGGGGAAAAAATCACAGCAGAGCAGCAACAACAAGAAGCTTGACAAAAAATGTTCAAAATCTGTATGACAGACATTTTAAAACACTTCTGAGGAGCATAAAATAAAATTTGAATAAATGGGAAAATGTATCCTATTCTTGGATATGATGCCTCCATATTACAAATACGCTAACCCTAAGTCAACCCACAAATGTAATGCAAACCTAACAAAACTGCCACAAATATGCATATATGCACACAACATATATAATACTTATATTCAGACAAGCTGATTTCAAAGTTCCTATGAAAAATAAATCTGCGGGCGCCTGGGCGGCTCAGTTGGTTAAGCGACTGCCTTCGGCTCAGGTCATGATCCTGGAGTCCCGGGATCGAGTCCCACATCGGGCTCCCTGCTCAGCAGGGAGTCTGCTTCTCCCTCTGACCCTCCCCCCTCTCGTGCTCTCTATCTCTCATTCTCTCTCTCTCTCAAATAAATAAATAAATAAATAAATAAATCTGCAAGACTAACCAAAATATGTCTGAAAAACATCAGATGTTAAAACAATTTAAAACTACCATAATTAAAAAAAATTCAAAGTGGCATATAAATTGAGATTACAACAGCAAATAGAACAGAATCAAGTATGCACAGAATTACAGGAAATAAGGTGCATTTTGTATCAGTAGGGAAAAGATAAATTATTCAGTCTTCAAGAACAAAGTCAGAAAAGTCAAGGTGGAATCAAGTGAGCCTTTTTACAGATGACATAAAACTCAGAAACTATAAAAGAAAACACTAATAAATTCTATTATGTAAAAATTTTTAACTTCAGAATGGGAAAATAATACCTAAACGAAATCAAGGATAAATGACAAAATGAAGGGAAAACACACCACACATAAGAGAAAGGCCCAATTTCCTTAGTTTACAAAGGTCTATGATTCAAATAAAAAATAAAAATAAAAAAGACCACAACAACTTAAGTAGAAAAATGGAGAAAGAACATAAATAGCCAATTTCTGGAAATAAGAATTCAAAACATGGCTTTCACACATGTGAGATGTTCAACTCCAATGTCTGTCAAATGAGCCAAACCAACACAGCGGGTAGTGTCACGAGGGCGTGGGCAAGCAGGGGCTCCTGGGTGCCCTGCTGCGGGGAGGGTGGCTTCACCCATTGGAAGTTCAACTGTGGCGTCATCTACCAAATAAACAGGCCACTTCCACTTCTGGGGATTTCTCTAAAAGATGCACCCGTAAGTACGCATAAAAAATAAAACATTTTACAGACTGTGCAGTATGTAGAAAAGCCTTGTTTGTAGCAAAATACTGACATAACGTAAATTCTACCAACGAGGGACTGATACGGTAACTTACGGTAGCGACAGGCAGCAGGATACTAAGCAGCCATTAAAAAAGCAAGGCAGATGGGCAGGGCACTGCTAAGAAACTATCCCCAAACATACCAAGAGAACAAAAGCAAGGTACAAAACATCATGCACAGCAAGCAACCACTTGTGTATCAAACCAAACACAAGAGAAAAACACACAAACAGAAGCTAAAGGGGGGAGGGAACTCTGTACGCTCACACTTGCTCTCTCTGCAGAGATGAGCCCCCGGGAGGACGTGGCAACCTGCACCCCGAGAGAGCTGTAGAGCTGTGCCACGTAGGGGAGAGGGGGTATAAGACTTACTTCCCACCATGTACTGTTTGGTACTCTTTTTAATTTTTTAACATATACGTCATATCTAAAAAAATAATAACAAAGATAATAGTAAGAGAAAACTAAAAAAGTAACCCAATAAAGGTCTCAAAGTCAGTGGTGTCTTGCATCTCTAAAGTGCTCACAGACACTTAGGAATTAATCAAAACAATGTTGGTGCAGAAGCTAAGTGCAGGTTTAGAGCAGATTCAATTACAAGCATGGTTTTCATGTTTTGCATAGGAAACATTTACACACAAGGAGAAAAGGATTTGGAATTCAAACTAGAGCCGTCTGTACTCGACATCAAGTCTGTGAGGCCTAGGCGAGGAATGGTAAACATGTTAGTACAACAGTATCAACGTGCCACAATGTGACGTTAGGAGATTCTGACATTTCAAAAGGTGTTACTACACAGAGAAGAAGAAAGAAAAATCAATTCCTCGCAGGGCAGAAGTGAGTAAAGAAGGATGGATGTGTTGTTAAAAAAAATCAGAGCCCAAATAACTGAAAGAGTGAAAACACAGAAAAGCAATCCGTTCCCATTCCATCACCAAAGTAATTTACGACTCTGCTGGGTGCCTTGAGTTTGCTGCTCCCTCCAGATAGGTTTTTTACAGGTCAAATCATTTTACAATGAACTCCAAGGGTCTCTATTGAATATTACTTGAAATAAATGAACTAAATTTGGACTTAGAGAACTCTTTTTACAGAATATTTCAATCTTTGAAATAGAACAAATAAAAACGACAACATGGCTGGTGAACGTATCCAGATATAAGCAAATCAAATCGTTGCCTTTCAAACTAGCCACATGCCCACACTGTGGACAGTGACAACTACCGCTTCATGAGAAGGTACTGTTACTAAAAGCTGGACACCAGCTCTCCACGCTCCACGTGCATTAGCTCAGGAGCCTCAGGGTTACCCCAGGAGACACGCACAACAGGTGAAGTCACTGAGGCACAGAGGGATGAAAGGGTTTGCCTAAAGACACACTCGCACACTCGCACCCAGGCTTTGAGCAGAGCTGCCCACCACATGGCCTCCCTTAGGTACGTACTCTAATCTCTCCTGTCCTCAGGTCACCGGCCTATGAAATGAGACCATCGGGCTGGAACTACAGGACCATGCCAGCTCAAATATTCCCCAACTCTCCAACCTTACAAAAAACCAAAAAAACCCAAAAACCCACTACTAGCAAGAAATTCTCCTAGAATTTATAAATGGATAAGACTTTCCCACATTATTGCAATACCTGGCCTCTCTCCTCTAACTAGGTAGCAGTACAATGCTAAATCCTTTATATGAATTATCTTACTGAAAAGTGCCCAATGGGAAGAAAAAATCAGTCACCAGTAGGAAATAAATTCCTCAATTATCCAACTCAGAGGAAACCAGTATTAATAGTTTCTTTCTTGTCTTTTTATGCACGCACGCGCGCGCACACACACACACACACAATTTATGAAATCAGATCAAACTGTACATACTGTTTTGTACCCTGCCTTTTTTCAATTTCATATGCAAGAACACTTGTCAAGTTCACAAAGAAAAATTGAAAAAAATACCACTTTTAATGTCTATGTAAGGTTCCATCACTTGGATGTTGTGTAGGATTTGTTTTATTGATTTAAAATTATTTAAATAAAGTTAAAGTACAATTCAAAAACTCATTTCAAAATAAATTTAGGCTCACAAAAAAATTACACAAATAGTACGAAGAACTCTCTTATACCCTTCTCCCAGCTTCCTTATACGGTTATTAATTCTCAAAATCCCAGTACGATGATCAAAACCAGGGAATCAGTACTGACGTGAAACTGAATTAATCTGCAGCCCGTATCTGACTTCACTGACTGACCTTGCAGCATCCCCTCCCCGGACAGGACCCAGTTTAGGACCACATATTGCACTGAACTGTCATGCCTCCTTCGTCTCTTTTAACCTGGGGTAGTTCTTCAGCATTTCTGTTTTGGATGACCTTAATATTTTTGAACAGTATCAGCCAGCTGCTTTGGAGAAGGTCTCTAGATTTGCGTTTGTCTGATATTTGCTCAGGATTAAATCCGGGTGACACCTTTGGGGCAGGACAACCACAGAAGTGGCGCTGTGTCCTCTGGGCACCTATCTGGAAGTGCATGAGGCCGACACGTCCCAGCACTGGGGATGCCCACACTGATTGCCTGGGTAAAGTGGTACCAGCCAGGCTCCCCAATGTAAAGTGACTGTTTGCCCTTTGTGATTAAGACGTATCTTGTAGGGAGATCCTTTGAGACTAACTAGGTAAATATCCCATTTTTCATCAGACTTTCACCCCCTCATTTCAGCATCTGTGATGTGTGACACAGTATTACTAAGGCAATGGCCAGACGGTGATGCTCTACTCCATCACTTCTATGTTTCTCCACTGGAATTCTACTGTGCAAAGGGTCTGTTCTTCTCCCGTCTGCTTATCTATTTACTCAATAATTTGTTTCTATCAGTTTGTACTCATGGATGTTTGTTTTAGCCTGTGGGCTATTAGCCAATGCTATCACTACTTGCTTGTCACTCAGTATCAGGTAGGGTGGACACATGCCTAATTCTATCTGTCCAAAATGAGAAAAAAGAAGTAAGCAATTAGCTCCTCTCCTCTGCTTGGGTACCCACCTCACTTCCTATTTCAGATCTCACCACGTCCTCTGCACTGAGGATAATCAGGACGTATTTGTGGGACTCTGGGCTGGGTCTTCAAATGATGCCTGCGCCTCTGGAGCCTGGCAGTTAACGTGCCTCCTACAGGACCCGGGGAACCCAATTTTGGCCCCTCTGGCCCGGGCACTAACTAAATGTGTTTCCCAACTAAAGACAAGTATTCCACCACTGCTCCCCAAGCTGCCATTTCTTTCTGTAAACTTAGGGTAATAGTAATACCTGTAACTCACTGGGTCTGGGGTGGTGTTTAAGATTTAAGAATATACAACACAGGCAAAGAATCCAGCACAACGTCTGACACGAGGAACATGTATTTTACACGTTTCCTATTAGACCTGCCGTGATGATTACAAAATATAGTTATTCTATTCTACTCTGGGCACAATCCTCAGATGCAATGTGTTTATGTAAGAAATGAATCAAAAAGAAGAAAATAATGCTAAATGGAAACAGATTCTTTTGGTCCCAGAATTACTGCTTTGGTTCAGGTCAATGTTGCTTATGCACTATGAGCAATAACAGAAAAACACTATACTCACCTGTATTTTTGATTTCATTGCTTGAAGAGACTGGACCACAGGGATGCAGTAGGCAAGTGTTTTACCTTTTAAAAAAGTACAAAAGCAATTAAAATCACAGACCCTACAGATGTTAAGAAAAGCAAAGACAACAAAGAAAATGGGCTCTGCTACCTTTGGGTAGCACTCAACTCTGGGGACAGGAAAAGCGCACATCCTACATCCAAGAGAGGCGAAAACGGAATTTGCCCATCTGCCACAACCCCCAATTTTGTTTGTAAATCCAGTACTTCCCAAAAAACCTGCAGCTTCAGCTCCTTTATCCAGCTAACAAGGGAGACAATGACAGATTTCCCAAGTTACACAAAACCTCAACTTGAGGACTACCCCTCAAAGCTAGAAAACTCCTTGAAAGTCATCCTTAACCGTGCAAATGAGCTTCATGGGTAAGTGAACGACCCGCACGGCACTGATGTGCTTAGGAGCCAGTCTGAACCCTGAGCCAGCCTCTAAAGACCGTGGAGAAACCACCTGAATGGTGGCTGAGCTGGGAGGCGTGGTGAATAGCCAACCTGCCATTCTGGGCACAGGAGGGGCAGAAGAACAAGTCTACAGACAATTTTGGAACATGCAAAACCTGTGTTCCGTATTAGAGCAAAACAACTGGCATCCAAACAGTGTGTGCTCATGCCAGAGCTGTGCTTTAGTATCAGAAATATTCATCCCCCACTGGAGTGAGGAGGGCAGCTCAGGCCACAGACGGTGGGACTGGGCAGAGCCCTGGCAGAAGCTGACCACCTCCCGATCGTTCCTGACCACAGCACCACCAACCACCCCCTTCCTTTCACTAGGGGAACAAATTCGGGGTGCTCATCAAGAGCAGGCACGGCCTCCCTCCTTCCCCCAACAAAACAAAGCCACTGCCACCACAGACAGACACTTTACTATGGAAACTACTATGTGAGTGTGGCCTGGGTATCAGGGGAAAGGGGGCAGAAGTTAAGTGACAACTGACCTGAGCCTGTCTGCGATCTCACCAGAGCATCTCTGCCTTCCAGCAACGCAGGAATACTTTGCTTCTGAACGCTTGGGCCACACAAAAGAAAGAACACATGCTGAACTATAATATTTTACCCTCTCCCGTTTACAGGCAGAGATGCAAGATACACAAATCACACCCGCCCCCATGCTTTGCTGCATCTGCCAACTGCTACCTCAGAAGTCACCTAAACATTCAAGCGAAGGTGCTGAGAAACTTTTGATGATTGGAGGGATAAAACCTCAGTTAAATTTCTGGAACTCAGCTGAAAATGCTGAGGCAAGCCAGGGATTGGCGGCTCTAGCAAACAGATTAAAAAGGAAAATGGCACAGGCATGATGACAAGCTGGAGGTACCACGAGAGCATACTGCCCCCCCTGTTCCCCCCCCCCCGCCTCCTGTGACAGGCAGGGAGACACAGGAAGACGTGACGGAAAGATTCCCATGCAAGAGAGTACCAGGAAGCTTGTGAGCCATCCAGATAGCCTGGAGCTGCTTCCCAGTCTCTAAAAAACTGAGGTGTGACTATCATACACACACTAAAACGTCTGTCCACACATGTATTTAAAAACAAACAAAAAGGGCACAGAATTCATTTAAATTTGGTTGATGAAACTGAACAAAAAAAATGGGTAAGGGGGGTCCTCCTTTTATTCAAGATTCTTATTACCTTGTACATATAAGTAAAATGTGACGATTAGTAAAATGTAAAATATAAAGCATACATACTCACAAAAAGGAAGTTCATCTCTTCTCTACACCTCTTACTATTCTATTTTCCAAGAGTCATTACTATTAAACATTCAAAAAAATTTTTTTCAATATCCCATTATATCTGACTAAGTATTTAATCTTTCTGGTTGCCTCTACTTTTTACTACTAAAAAATGACCAGATAAATTCTATATTGTGGACATATTATCTTCAGGGTAGCATGAACAGCAGCGGGATCACATGCAGACATCTTCTGGACCGGTTCAGAGCTGACAACAGAAGTAGTTGGGGACTCAGTCTCTCCACTTAACAAGTGGGGGAACTGGGGGGTTAAGTGATGTGTCAAGCCCTGGATGGGCAACAATCCGGCAGTGTTCTCTAATACGAAGACACAAGTTTGCTCTGTGCTCCACAGATATTCAAATTTCACTGGTCATACCCATTCAAGTCTTAACAAAAGCAACACTGGCCTGGAACCCTTACCTGGTCATACTAGTCATGTTTAAGACCGTATTTATTGTGGAAATCTAAAAGAGAACACACAAAATAAATATTTTTACCGATTTTTTGGCACAAATATAAACATATTTGTTTATACAAATGAGGATGCAAAGAAGGAGAAGATACTGGGATAAAACCGATGGCCATGTTGAAGTTCTTCCAACCAGTGAGTGTCACCTGGGGGTGGTTCTGCCCACCATCCTCCCCTGACCCCCCCCCAGACACACACACACACACACACACACACAGACACACACACACACACACGGCAATGTCTGAAGCAATTTTCATTGTCCCAAGTGGGGCAGGGGATGCCACTGGTATCAAGTGAGTAGTCATGGAGTGCTGCTGAACATCCTACCATGCACAGGACGGTGCCCATGACAAAGAGTTATCCATCCCCAAATGTCCCCAGCATGAACCTGCTCGATGTCCCTGCTCAAACCCGTAGGTAAGAAAACAGCTTATGTAAGTAACCCTAAAGGAGTGAGCTGTGACCATAGGAGCAAAGGAAATCCAGACTCCCTGAAAGTTAATGCATTTTTCTCTTACTCATAAATAAGAGTGGAAACTTCATCACAGTCAAAAAAAAAAAAAAATCCATTTGTTTGTAGAATGTCTTCATTCAATTTAACAACAGACTACCCTTGATATGAAAATGCCAGCTCAGTTTCCTCTCCTGTGGTCACTGTGACCCCTGCCACCCAGATCAGCCTCCACGTCCCATCTACCCACTAATTAGGAGCTTGTCCTAGAGTCCAGTAAGTGGAGCCCCAGGCCTAATTTGAATTAGGTTAGGAAAGTGTTTAGTTCTTTAAAAAGGGGGTGGGGATGGAGATAAGGACAGTGAACAGTAACCTAGGCTCACTGGGATTATCCTAGAAGAGCATCTTATCGATCTAACTTCACTCAGGTTAATTTGGAGCAGAAATAACCATTCTTTGATTTTTCTTCCTAAAACTGTCATTTCCCAGACATTCCCAAGAAATTAACCACACTGAAAAAACCCATCACACAAGACACTGAGTGATACTTACTAAATGTGGGTGTAGGTCCAGTTCATGAAAAGCATCTGAAGTGAACACCTTTTCTTGCACCTGCTTTACTACAGGTCTGCAAATGACGAACAAAATCTAGGCATCAGTTCCAATCGACAGAGAAAAAAGCAGAATACACTTAACTCCTCCTATTCCTGAGCGCACATGCCCCTGAACATACCTGTGGAGCTCTGGGATTTCAGGGTTGTTTTTAAATAACGATGAAGTCCTAACGCACGGTTTCTGTTCTCGGGTTCCATCACTCACACCAACCAAAGATTTCTTCAGAGAAAACGTTTTCTGTGCCTTCCCCTTAAAAGTCCTTTGTGTTTCTTTAGCAGCAGCTTTCTTGGCGGGGAGAAATGATGCCTCGTTCCTCCGTTTCGCTGGGGGAGCCTCACTGGATGCTTGGTGTTTTCTTTTGGTGGCCTCGGCTTGCTGTGTTGTTCCCAAAAGGCAAGAGCAACAAGAGATGCATTAGTCCATGAAGACAAACCTCAGAGTGAAGCCTGACTGCCCACAGAATTGCATCTCTCCCTGCAGAGATCATTATGCCCCATATGTCAAGCAACAGTTTAGGGTCTGCAATCAGATTCTTTGACTCAGCTTTTTTTTTTCCCCCCAAAAAGAAAAAAACAAAACAGAACAAAACACAAAAATTTCAGCTCATTCATACACCAGACCTCACCATCCATCCTCACCATCAACTCAACCAAGATGAGGGTAAGGATCAAGGGAGAAACCTTTGTGGGGCTGAACATGAACAAATGGGAGTCTCTTTTAAGGGAAGAGAAACCCACCTTGTGAAGTGTGCATGCTAAGTCAGTCCTTATCCCTAGATGTCCATCTACACAAAAAGAACAGGGGAGAGGGGGAGCGCATCCTCTCTCTCCATCAACAAAGCCTGTTGGTGACTACACATGGGAGGCTGCATCCCAGCCCATGCCCAGGAAGCAGAAACCTTCATTACTGCTCTACCCCAGAGTGCTTGGATCGCTGTCATCCTCCCCCTCATGCTGCTCCCCCAGATTCAGATGGCTTGGAGATGATTCCTACTCCCGTTTCCATTCCAAATGAGAATTCTGCTCCATCCATCACTTCTACCACAATTATTTCCAACTCTCCTTGCCTTTCAGGTCCCCATCTGATCACCAATTACAGGCTACAACACTCGGCATTTTCCTGCCTGTTGCTTATTTCTGTAACATGGATGTGGCTACGTGTGTCATGTCCAAACTTCTCCCAGGAGAAGAAACAGCCAATTTTCTTTGAAGAAACATTCTGTTTTCTTTGGTCTTCTCTTCCAATTTACACGTGAATAAAAAACATCCCCTGAGTAGCCAGGGCTTATTATTCTGGCATTTTGGTTTCTCTTGGAATGTTATTTCCCCCTTAGCTGGAAATGACGGATTCCATTTACACATCAGCTTGCTTTTGGCCGTGACTGTCAGCTTCAGGCTAACCTACCAATAACAACATTTGTTTGTTCCTGACAACTACAGGACTCCTATATCTAAATAATTTAATAAATACCAACTTTGAGTATTTACTATTAATTATTGACTTGCTCCATTTTACAAATCTATTCTTACAAAGTCCCAAATTTATGAATGTTTAGATTAAAGAAAGAGATAAAAGTCAAGTTCCAGATCTGCTGAATCTTTTGCAAGGCACAATGAAATGTGCTGACATTCCTTGATTTATGGAACTACAGACTCTCCGAGCATAAAAAGGCCTAAAAGCCACTCCCACCACGCATGGACTTCCTACTACAAGCTCCCTGACAGGTGGCCTTGCAGTAGGCCTTGCCTACACACCTCCCTTTACTGCTCTCCATCCTTGAGACACCAAATTCTAGGGGTTAGGAAGCTGTTTCTGACACTCAGACAGGATCTGCCACCTCGATCATCTATCTGCTAGTCTGAGGTTTGCTTTCTGCAGCAACAAAACACAAGCTTACTTCCTCTTGTGCATCACATTCCTTCACACATCATCTAACTTTGTTTCTTCTTTGGACTAAACAGTCCAAACAGGACACAAGCTTTCAATCCTTTCTCATCCCAGTCACCTTTCATTCTCATTTCCACTGTTCTCTAAAAGCAAGTATTCAGAATTAAGCACAATATTTCACAGGCTTTCCACGGCTCTCAGGCTAAAATCAAAAACCTGTAATATGATCTACAAAGCCCTCTGGAAGCTGGACTCTGCCCACCTCACCAGCCTCAGCTGTCCTGGTCTTCCTTAATTCCTAGATCGTGACATGCTCCTTCCCTCCTCAGGGCCTTTGCACATGCTATTGCTATACCCATGTCTGCAATCCCCCTTTGGCTAGCTAACTCACTCATCCTTCAGATCTAAGTCTATTGGGTCCTCAGAAAAACCTTTCCTGACCTCTTCTCTCCACCTAGTCAGGCCAGGGCTCCTACTCTTGGCTCTCCTGGCACCCTTTTTCTTCACTGTAGCACTCAGTACAATTACAAGCATAAAATGTAATGTTAATTGGTGTTGGTCCTCCCCATTAGACTGTGAACTCCATAAGGAAATGGACAAGTCTGTCCTGCATGGCACTGCATCCCCGGTAGGGCTCAAATCTTCCCAAAGTAAGTGCTCAATAAATAGCTTGTAAGATGATCGACACACATGGAATTATCCCTTCCCATAATGTGGACACTATTCCACTGCTCGTTAGCTTTTCTGCCCCAGCATCCACAACACATTCATTTAAGAAACTGACTCCTCAGCAGATGTCAACAAGTAGCTTGGTTCTGAGAATACAAGGCTGGAAAATTAGCCAAGCCCTTGAGGAGACTGCAGATTAGTGGAAGAGACAAAAGTATAAAACCACAAACCCAAACCTATATTTGTACTCAGAAGAGGTACGTACAAAGGATTACAAAAGCACAGAACAAGACTACCACGTCCTACGGCAAGGGGAAAGGAGGCCAGGAAACAGAAATGCTTCAGAGGTGGCATCTGAGCAAAGAGGAGCTAGGATGTACCTGAATCTACTAAAAAGTCAGCTCTACAACGTTAAGCAAATTACCTCCCTCTGAGTCTCTGTTCCTGTACCTGTAAAACGAGCGGGTTCTGGCAGATGACCTCTAAGGCCCATCTAGCCCTAAAAGTCTAAATACTATGTCTCTGATATTAATAAATATACCAGAACCCAGGCAATATGCTAAGTACTTAAGAGTTATCTAATGTATCAATACAGGTACTGGTATCATCCCATTTTAAGAGAGAACACTGAGGCAGAGATATGAGGTAATTTGTTCCAGGATCACTGGGGGATCCAGGTTTTGCTCAGGCCCTGATTCTACACCCAGGGCTCCTGATGATTATGCTATAATACTATTTGTTAACTGTATCCTGTTTGGTTGGAAAACATCATGTGTAGCTTCATCCCTTGTTTGTTTTCTAGAAGGATATACACCAAAATGTTAACCAGTTACCTCTGAGCATGGCAGTTATGGGGTTTTTCACTTTAACATACTTCCCCTATTTCCTACAATAACCTCGTATTACTTGAATTGTCAGAAAACTTTTTTAAAAAGAAAACACTATATACTGTTACGTATAGCATCACTTAAGGTCTTGAGGCCTTTCCAAATTCACTATACTAGTTACCCGTCCCAAATTCAGGCCACTGGCAAATTTGATTGGCATACCTATAATTCTCATTTAAGACAAACAAAAAATGCAGATGCAGACGAGGGCACTGCAGACACCTGTCATCATCTTATTAATACACATCCTTTTGACACAGTGGTTCAAGCGATCAAAAAGCCAGACATCCCATTGTTATTCCTTCAACTCACTCAAGGTGTTAATAGCGCTTCCTCTGTGTTACTAGGCACCTCCAAAGCACAAGCTCCCCACTGACCTCCAGACACAGAAATCCCATTACTCAAAAAGAAGCCAATACCACTTTATTTACCATTGGCATTACCATTTACCATTACCATTAAGTGCTTCTATGGGCCAGAAAATATATAGAGTCTTTATGCATATTATTTCATTTACTCCTCACAATAACTTTATATAGACACTTTTGTTGTTTTTATCTATCCTTTATTTGGTGGACAATTTTATGTCTACCCTGCATTTTACAATCGTTTCACAGATTGGAAAGTGAGGTTCAGAGAGGCGAAATAACTCCCCCAAGTTCACAAAACCAGCATGTTGCAAGGTGGGAATCTAATCCCAGGTCTGTCCTACTCCAGATCCCATGCTCCCAGTGGCTCTTCGGGACTTCCCTTTCCTCCTCCCAGAAGCAGCGACCCCACTGGCTAGCTGAAAACTCCTACTCCCCAACCTCTAAATCCTAAAGCTTGACTATCACTGAAAAACCACCAAAGAGAATCCTTATATGAACTCGAGGAATATCAGCTTCAACACACTGGTTGAACTGAACCTCGGCAATTGTCAATGGAATTACCTGTTGCTTTCTGGAGAAAACACACACCTTCCTTGGCACAAGGTGGTATAATTTCTGGCCTCTGTGGTAACTCAGGATTCTACAACAGATTTTCTGCCCTGCCAGCCCTCCTCTATTCCAGGAGAGACGTCAACCATCCCAGAAACCAGTTTTCAGCTCTGGCTTCGTTTAAATTTAAAGCATCTTTCCCCTCCCTAGTGAGCGGGTTAAACTGCCGCTCCGTATTCTCTTTCCCCACTGCACGCTGGGTGAGAATCTATGCCATTTTTGAAAGCTCTTGAAAAAAACCTCTAGTCCAGTCCTCGTTCCTGAACCAAACAAACCTCAAATGAGGCAACGGTGACTGAGAGAAGTTAGGAGGTGTGGCTGGCAAGTGCCCGGGCTGCCACTCACATCCCGGCGGCAGTTCCTAACTTGGGCTGGAATCAGCCTCCCATCCTTTACCCGACCTTCGGGGCCCTACAACTTGCAGCCCGAACCAGCAGACGCCCCTCCACACCCGCTCCGCGGCCGCCCAGAACATCCCCGCGGGGTGGTGTTCCGAGCTCAGACACGTGCCGTTCGGCGAATTCTCCAGAAGCTGCTGGACAGCCCACTTTCCCCCCTAACTCTGTCGGTAGTTCGAAACCCTACCCAGAGGCGAGGCGGCGGGCCCGGCCTCGAGTGCGGACCGCTCTGAAGCCGGGTCATAACTCACCCGCCTCGCCTGGGCCTGGCGGGGTCCCGAGAGCGTCCTGGGGGCGGCGGCCGGGGACTCCGGAACGTGGAGGAGCAGCGTGCCGGCGGCTGCCATGACACGCGGCGAGAAGCGGGCAGAGGCGGACACGGACGGGCGCCGGCACCGGCTAGCGCGGCCGGACCTCTCGAAGCCGGCCCACAACTCGGCTCGGCCCCACGTGGGCGGCGCGCGAGGACCCCGCGTAGGTGCCCCGCCGGCTCCTGCGGCCGCGCCCCTTCCGGGTCCCGAAGGGCCCACGGGCCACGGCGCCGGGGTCTCCGGACTGGGTGGCCTCTCCTTTTGGTTTCCCTCGCGGCTTCGCCCGCGGCGGGCGATGCCACATGACAGCCAGCCCTGGAGTTCATGCCAGTGAAGTTCTCTGAGTGCCTCAGAAACAAGAGGTCGTGTGCCACCTAGCCAACGTTTCCTTCGTTTGCTGCCAGGCTACCGCTTCCTCGGCACTTTAGGTACCCGGGAGGTCTCTACAGGGGCCTGGGGCTCGGTCGCCCGGAGACGGAACCCTCGAGGGCCCCTTCCCCTCGACCACCTCCGCCGAGTCCGGGCGCTGCTCCGTCCTGCCCGCAGAGGAGGCGCGCTTTCTAGACAGGCAGCGCCTTGGCCACCTGGCAGGGCTGGGTCGCCTAGCAACGGCGGGGTCCTTCCTGGCTCGGCGGCGCTCCGGGCCTGAGGGGAGAAAGCCGCCGCGGAGGGCGCTGGGGGCCGGTGGCGGCGGCGGCGGCGCCAAAGGCGGCAACGGGACGGCGGCGCGGGGTTGGCGCGCCCCGGAATCCGGCCTCTGCACTTGAGGGGAAATGAGCTCCGCCGACAAGGCCCGAGTGGGGCCCGCAGCCGACGGGCCTGCGCCGCCCGAGGAGGAGGAGGGCGAGGGGGGCGGCGAGGCGGGCGGGAAGGAGTCAGCGGCAGACGCGGCCCCCGGGCCCAGTGCCGCGTTCCGCTTCCTGGTAACTCGGCGGGAGCCGGCCGTGAAGCTGCAATATGCAGTGAGCGGCTTGGAGCCGCTGGCCTGGTCCGAGGACCACCGCGTGTCCGTGTCCACGGCCCGTAGCATCGCTGTGCTGGAGCTCATCTGCGACGTGCACAACCCGGGCCAGGACCTGGTTATCCATCGCACCTCGGTGCCCGCTCCTCTCAACAGCTGCCTTCTCAAAGTAAGTCACCCCCTGGGCCCGAGCCCTGGGGGCTCCTTCTGCCCGCCGCCTGCGGCCGCGTTACCGGTCCCTGGGGAATCTTGGCCTGCGCCTACCGGCGATTCCCCTCGTCGCATCCAGAGCTTGGGGCTGAGTGGTTGGGGTCGCCGTATTTAAAAAAAAAAAAAAAAATCTCGCAGCTGTTTGCGCCCAGTTTTCCAGATCACCCACCCCCTGCCGACGCACACAGGTATCCCCGGAGCTTTCGTCGGAGCCAGGTCCTGCCTTCGCCCCGGCGCCTGCCCCACTGTTGGCGCTGATCACTCTCCGTGGTGCTTTCTGAGACTCCACCCCCTTTGACCCAACCCCAGACCTTGCCTCTACAGTTGCTCCTATTGTCTGGAATCGACTCCCTGAGGCCCTTGTCTGGCTTTGTTTACGGTGACGTGCCCTCCTCTTGTGCCTCTTCTGCTTTGGAGAAGAAAATTTGGTCCTTTTCATTGCCTCAGATATCTTAGCGACTTTATTATATGAATGTTCCTTCTCACCTTGAGCAGCTGGGTAGTCTAGTTTTTTCTTTTATAGCTGAAAATCTTTGGGATTGGAGTGAAAAGGAAAGCTTTTGGAAATAAATGCAGTTCTTAAACTTCAAGGCCTCTGTGTAGATTTAGTGTTTTCAGCTTCGTATAAATTAAGTTTGCCTTCAGAACTTTAGGGTTCCTAGTTTTACTGTTTCAATATCACTACCTTCAAGTTTATTTTTTTTTGCCCAAATAGTAAATCACATCATTAGCGGCTTAAAAGTATAAAAACTTTCCCTGTCTTCTTTGTAAATCTTTATGCTTAAATGTGAGCTATAAAAAGTGTATATTCACTCATTTAGCAGATATTTGAATAGCCCCACGTATCAGCTAGGTGCTGATCTAGGTTCTGGAAATAAAGCAGTGTACAAAACCAAGTTCCTGCCCTCATGGAGCTTACATTCTTTAGCAAGTCATGAACCCAAGTACAACTGAAGTATCAGATAGTGATAAGCATTGTAAAGGTATATATCTATGCCCGGAGAATGTGTTTATGTGAAAATGAAAGGTATTTAAACTTTTTTTCGCACTGCCATTTTAAATATGAATCATTAGCTGTGGGTAGGGTGTAGGGAGCCCACACCTTTTTTTTTTTTTTTTTTTTTTTAGCACACTTGAAAGTTTTAAACAATTCGTTGTTGAGTTAAATCACTGGTAGACTGATATGACTAAACCCTGAAAATCTTCTTGGAGAAGATATGAACAAATTGGTTTGAGTATAATCACATCAGGTAGATGGATAGTGGTAATACTGTGAAATTGAGAAACGGATGGAGGCAGAAGAAAGGGGCTTTAAAAGGTATATATCCTTACCATTTCTAAGGATGTTCTTGTGCACATGAACTAGAGAAACCTTAAAGTGTGTGTGTCCAACGTGGTCCAGATTTAATGCTTTAACGGAGAATTTCTTTTTTTAATTTAATTTTTTTTAAAGATTTTATTAGAGAGAAAGCACAAGTAGGCAGAGCGGCAGGGAGAGGGAGAATCAGGCTCCCTGCTGAGCAGAGAGACCGATTTGGGGCTCTATGCCAGGACGCTGGGATCATGACCTGAGCCAAAGGCAGACACTTAACTGAGCCACCCAGGCGCCCCAGCAGAGAGGATTATTTAAGGTGGGGGAGGGGCAGAGGGAGAGAGAGATTCTTAAGCAGGCTCCATGCCCAGCACAGAGCCTGTCCATGGGCTCAATCCCACGACCCTGAGATCATGATCTGAGCTGAAACTGAGAGTCGGGATGCTTAACTGACTAAGCCACATAGGCACCCCTAGCAGAGAGAATTTAAAGAATGGAAGGAAGAGTGAGGGGAGGCACTTACATCAGGGAATGTTATCTGGTGGTGAATCTGAAGGAGACCTGAAAGAACGTAGGATTTGTTTTGTAAGAGGAGCAGAGGAAAGGGGCATCCGTGTAACAGGAATGAGTTGTCCATCTTATTCACCTACATAATTCACAGTTACTGTTTAAGTAATGATGGATTAACAGACGATCTCTTCTAGAGAGAGAAAGTGAGGTGAGGCCAATTTGGGAACTTCGGAAGGTCAGTCCGAAGAAGTTGGCTTCAATTTAGGAAGCCCAGAGGTGCTGTAACAGTTTCATAAGCATAGACTGGCCTGGGATGGTTCAGGAATATGAATCTGGTGGGCCTAGAGGCAAGAAAACAATTAATTGGGGGTCAGTATAAAATAGAGGGTACAAATTTGGGCTTTGGCACAAAACAGCAAGATAGGCCTGTCTGTACAAGGGGGATGATAAAATCTGTGTTATTTAGACTTTTTTTTTTTTTTGAGAGAGAGAATGCACGTGCACAAGAGGTGGGGAGGGGCAGAGGGAGAGGAAAAGAATCTTAAGTAGGCTCCATGCGCAGCATGGGCATGGAGCCTGACATGGGGCTTGATCTCATGACCCTGAGATCCTGACCTGAGTCAAAATCAAGAGTCTGACGCTTGACCAACTGATCCACTCAGGGGCCCCTAGACTTTTTGGAGGATTAAATACGTATATGTATGTGTGTGTATATATAGGTAAGTATATATGTACACGCAGATAATCACTTAGTACTAGCAGCCTGTAAATACTCAAAGTAATAAATTTAGTCATACAAGTATGAAGAAATAAGGGTCTGGATTAATACTGTAGCTGTGGATATGAAGATATCCGTAATATTCTGATAAAAATTGGGACTCTCATTGGTTGTGCAACTGTCTAATAAGTAATAGGAAATCTTTTGTATTCTTCTAATTGATCGATAGCTTGCCTGAAGTTAATTAGTGGCATATTCGCCTCCTGTACTGTTCTTTGATATGCGCATCACACAAACCATCCATCAGTTAGCAGTCTTAGTAGACTAGGACCATTTGGTGAATGAATGCCGAGTTGTCCCTGCGATTCTGAAAGAGGCCTCTGTCGGGTAAATCTGGGCTGCAGTGGTAGGAATGTAAAGAAGTCTGTATCAGTACTTTGATGGTTTTACCCTTTGGCAGCACCTAGGGATTTAAGCTGCTCAGAACTGTCCAGCTTGCCTTTGCTCTGACATGAAAGGTGGCCATTCTGCAGCCTGCATCAGATTAAATGTATGGCCCTGCTAGAAGGCTAGATGCTCAGCTCCTCTGAAGCTTTTGCTCTATGACCCCATTATTTAGATTATGAATTTCAAGAAAATATGCAGTTATATAAAATAGTTCAAATATTATCTGCTATTTGCAAGTTACTGTCCTGGACACTGAGTTTATGATATCAAGGAGACTGATATAAGTGAATGATATGAAAAGCAATAAAATTGTGACTTAAGAATAATTTGTAGTTTTTCTTCCCATTGGACTGCTCATTTAGTGAATCATCTAATTGGATACAGTTCCAAATTCTAATAATATTTGTATAACTAATTTTATTCTGCATGAATTGTTAGGAGCATGAGAAAGTACTAACTCCATCCACATTAAGTTAATTATGGGCTGTCTTTGGAATCCTATTCCTACCTTCAAGAAGCTTCTTGTAGAATAGCTTCAAGTGAATTTCTGTTCATTAGGTGCTTACAAAGGAATTAGCTATTAGTAGTAATAGTGGCCAATTGGAAACAGGATTGTATATAATTAAATGATTGGCTGGGTGTGGTCCTCTGGGAGCTGGACTCCTATGTGATGTGCTTCTTGGCCATCTGAGTACCTGTTTAAATTTGATGGCTGGTTTTGTGACATGGAGACTTGGAGGGGCAGTATACTCATTCAAACTAATATATGAGAAATTACTACACAGAACTATTCAGGGGCGCCTGGGTGGCTCAGTTGGTTAAGCGACTGCCTTCGGCTCAGGTCCTGATCCTGGAGTCCCGGGATCAAGTCCCACATC